TAGCCTTTTTAAATTATTCTTAATTTTTCATTGTTTTTAAAAATAATTTTTAGACGGTAAAGTACAATAGAACGATTAAAAATATGGGAATCGTAAAGAATGTTGTTTATGTGGTACCAAATAGGTAGGAGTTTAGTGAGGGAAACGACATACTATATCTTTTGTACGTAATCTTATTCATGACAATGGTTTTTAGCGGATTATAAACAGTTTGGGTTAACGAGTTAACATGATAATATTAACGGGTTAAATGGGTTCTTAATAGGTTTAACGGGTTGACCCATTAAAACACGAAAAATAATTGGTCCTTAACGAGTCAACCCGTTAACGATCCGAGACACGTTAAAGCTAAACACTAATTTGTTATTTTTGTGTCCGGTTTTGTGTCGTATTAACAAGTCGTGTCGATAATTGCAAGGTCAACAATATATGCCCTAACTTTAAAAAAAAAAAAAATTACACAATTTTAGTCTTTAGTGCAATTATAATTTGATGTCAACTATCTTCATGTTGGTGTACGCAATACATGGGAGAAGAAAAACTCTTTTATAAAAGAAGATGCTCCCGATTCATTATGGATAAATGTGAAGTGGTGTGCCATATATAATCTATCCATCGTAATAAGCCACGTGCCATGGATGCAGGCCTCGGTTTTGCTGTACAATTATTATACTGATCTTTGGCATGCCATCCACAATTCCACGTGTTGAAAATTCTAGCGCGCTCCTTCTTCGCGGGCCTATATATTATTTTTGTGTACATATATTCATCCACACCTTCACATGCAGTCATCCTCAACAGATCAATGGCTGTTCCTTCCTCCTTTCTCTTCACATTCTTCTTATTATTATTATGTAGTTTCCTTTCAGTCTGCATGGTTTCTGCTTCTACTGTAGTTTGAGTAGAGGAGAAACCGTAATCGGAGCTTCTCCGTCGGCACCGCGTGTGGCCGCTTTCTCAAGCCGGGGGCCAATTACTTGACGCCTGAAATTCTCAAACCAGATGTGATTGCACCAGGAGTTAACATTCTAGCCGCCTGAATTGACACTAAAGGCCCCTCCCAAACCTCCACTGATTATAGAAGTAAGTATTTTCCCTAATATAATATATTATAATATATTGTATTAATTAAGTGGTTGTGATACAAGTGGAAGATTAAGTCAGTTAGTGGCTTAATTTGTTAGGCAACTCAGGATATTCAGTTAAGTTTTAACTGAATATCTGCATACGTTGATGGGATGTAGGCTTTTAAGCAAAATAGTCCTCCACAACTCCCGTGTTCAGTATACACGCACCATCAAGTATTCGGGAGAGAAGTGGTAGATAAAATACTAGTCTTTATTCTGCAAGATGACAAGTTTACCATCTTGTGGCAATACCAACGACTATGGCTGGAGATATTCGAGCACCTCCATGGCATGTCCTCATGTTAGTGGATTGGCTGCCATGATTCAAAAGCTCTATCCACTTTGGGACCCAGGTGCCATCAAGTCGGCACTCATGACAACAACTGTCACTGTGGATAATTCCGGAAGGAGTCTCATAGATCTTTCCACTGGACAAATTAAACATCCGTGCCCTATTATCATGGGTCTGGACACGTTGATCCAACCAAGGCAGCAGATCCCGGTCTAGTCTATGATACTGGAATTAGTGATTATGTGGATTTTTTATGTACCATTGAGTATGATAGCCAGAAAATCGCATTGTTCCTGCGGGATGGTCCTCCGGTGAATTGCAGCACGCGAAATTTGGGTAATCCTGGCTCTCTAAATTACCCATCTTTTTCCGTTGTTTTCAACTCTCTCTTCTACTAGCTTTGAGATATAGTTTTTGGGAAGATCAGACCTCGTCCAACGTAACGCGGCCAAGAGCTGTAAACCAACTTTGTCACCCTTTTCGCGGCGAGTGAGGTAATTCTTAAGTGGACCATATTATTGTTTATTTGTTATATAAGGCTCTGTTTGGCAGAGCTTATAGTTTATTTTAAGTTACTAATAAGTTATAAACCTTGTTTGTTAATGTTCTTAAAATAAGCTAATAGTTTAAAATAAGAACTTATTTTGAAAAGCTATCTTTGGTTGTGTTTCAAAAATAACCTTCTAACTTTTTTTCATCTTTATTCTTAGTATTTTGAATAAGTGACATTTTTATCATTCTCAATTAAAATTCTTTTGACATTTGATTATTGTCCACAAGAAGTCACTCACTTTTGAAAGGTTGCTCCCACATTACCGTTGGTAAAACTTAATCATAATCATTCTTCCCAAACTTCAGTGTGAACAATTAAATTGCCCATGGGGCAGGTAATTCTTAACTTGAACATATTCTGTGCTGTACGGCTTTGCTGGGCCATCCATGCACGTGCTAAAAATAAGGTTATCTATATGGACTGTTAAAAGAAGAGGGTTATCTATATGGACTTATGGTGATTATACACAAAACTCCATCCGTTTTTATCTGCATCTTCTTCATCTGCTTTCTGAGAAGCATTCATTCATACTCACCTTCATAGTTATTGCCATGCATCACTGTTGGAATATAATTCTCATCATTTCCGACCAACATTTCCGTCTAACAAAAGTATTAGTGGGTACTTTGTTAAAAATTACAATTTTCTGTCATTAATTAATGATAAATGCACAAAAAGTTAATCGAAATTTCAGGTCACCAACACGTACTGATCGATAAAATTGAATTTAACTGATGATAAGTAAAAAGTTAAAATAATAGGGTTGCATAGCCTCACGTACTTGGGTATCTAGTACAATTATTGTTAATTGTTGTTCAGCTATTCAATGCACGTGCTGAAAATAGGGTTATCTATCCGCAGTGTTGATAGTGATTTTACACAAAACTCCCTTCGTTCTTATCTGCATCTTCATCATCATCAGCTTTCTGAGTAGCATTCATTCATACTCACTTTCATAGTTACTGGCATGTATATATGCATCCTCGATCATCATCAATGGCTGTTCCTGCTTCGTATTCATAGCAATTAAACTTAATCCCAGGAGAAAGGAAAAAAAAAAAAAAAAAAAAAAAAAAAGATAAAACGGCAGTTACAGTTAAATTATGGCATTCAAATCATGAATGATAAGGATTCAAATTTATTTAATTTTTCTTAATTTTCAAAGAGGGTTACAATTATTACATTAAGCAGAATGTGAGCCGTTTCAAAATGACTAAGCAGATAAAAGACGATGACCACCACCCCTTCACGAGAAGTTGAGAACTGTTACACCTGGTTACAATTATTATTATTATTATTATTATTATTATTATTATTATTATTATATTGTAGTGGGATAGTCACTTTCTTAGGTAGTTACCTGCATTTAGGTAGTGGGTAGTTTTATATTATTTTGTATAAAGGGGGACTTTGGAAATTCAGAATATTTGGCTTTCTATTAAAGAAAGATTTGGGAGAAGAAGCACTCCAGAAACACTTCATTTTCATTCTTTAAGCTCTAGACCTGTGACCTAATCCTAGATATCTCGGGCCATAACATTTGGTATCAGATGCGATTCATTTTGGTCCACTGATAATGACTGGGAAGAATTGAATTCTTCCTGCCAACTTTTTTGGGTGATGAAGACTTGTCTTCCATTTTTGGTAGTGGGAGTGGGGCGAGCTGAGGACCACGATATCATTTTACTCAACAATTGGTATACCACCAGGCTAAATGGCCAATGTAAAACCTGGAAAACTTCATATATATATATATAGTTAGTTAAAATTAAACAGTACTAAAAAACTTAAATAATTAATTCTATGTTCTGATCAAGAGAGTGTTGACATGAATCAAGAATTATGCTTCACCAATTTGGTTCCACCTTTCGAAGCAAGTGAGACAACTCTGATCTTAACTCATATTATTGTTTGTTTTTGCAATAATAAGCTAAGAGTGGCTTATTATCAATTAGATTCTTACGTACATAAATCTCTATTAAATTAGTATGGTATTAATCATTGAGAAAGAAATAATAATCTTGGTGTTATGCATAATTAATATTGTAGCCTTTGTAGGTGGAACGTATGCCCAGGAAAACCCTTTTATAAAAGAAAATGCATGCATAGATGCTCCCAATTTATTGTGGATACATAAATGTGAAGTGTGCCAGCGTAATAGGCCCAGTTATTTGGATCATGGTCTAAAACAATATCGTTAAAATCCATACAATAACTATTGATCGTAATAAGTCGCGTACTAGGCTTCGCCTACAATTATTGTTCATTTGTTCTACAATAACTATTGATCGTAATAAGTCGCGTACTAGGCTTCGCCTACAATTATTGTTCATTTGTTCTTCGGCAATCCACGTGCTTAAATACGGTTATTTTATTTATTTATTAGACGAGGACTTCATGGTGGTCCAGTGGTCCTCGTCCAAATTGGACCTCGGTGAGTTAGGCTAGGGGTTTTTTTTCTTAAAATGGTGCTGACTATTACTTTCTCAATACCTTCACTGAGACTAGATCTCATGACTTCCTACATGAGAGAAGTCACTACATGCCATCTGAGCACAATATATTTGACGTATATGTGGCAAATTATTGTGTGGATCATTGTGTAGATCATAAAAAGATACATTTTAATATATTAAAAATATATTATTTATATATTAAATACATATTATACAAAATAATGTATTTTTAACTATAATTTCAATAATGATGTAATTTCCGTGAATATAATGTGCACTAAAAACATATTATTTGTATATTGAATCTCTACAAAATTATATATTTTTAGTATTTAAATAATGTAACTTCATACGTTATATACATAAATAATGTACTAAAAAAATCTCCCAATTTATTATATATATGGACAAATGTGAAGTGGTGTGCCAGGCATCGTAATAAGCCACGTACCAGACCTGGCTTTCCAGTACAATTATTGTTCTTTGGCTTGTCATCCACGTGCTGAAAATCCTAGCTCCTTCTTCGCCTATATATTCAAGCATATATTATTTTTCTGTGCATTCATCCACACCTTCACATGCATGCAGTCACTGGCATCAGATCAATGGCTGTTTCTTCCCTCCCTTCCTCCTTTCTGTTTGTATTCTTATTGTTATTATGTAGTCTCCTTTCAGTCTGCATGGTTTCTTCTTCTACTGTAGTTTCAGTAGAGGAGGAGGAACCGGAGAGCTTTATCGTTTTCATGATGAAATCTGAGAAACCCAGGGCTTTCTCCACCCATCATCACTGGTATTCATCCATCATTCGTACACTTTCCCCTCTCTCTAACCATTCATCTGAGCTGTTGTACACCTATGAACGTGTTGCCCATGGTTTTTCTGCACGCCTCACGCCCTCCCAAGCGTCTCAACTGCGAAATGTTCCCGGCGTGATCTCTGTCCTTCCGGATCACCTCCACCAGCTCCAGACCACTTTGTCCCCTCAATTCTTAGGCTTAAGTGACAGTGACCCGTCTGGTCTCTGGCGCGTCTCTGATTACGGAGCTGATATTATAGTGGGTGTTCTGGACACCGGAATCTGGCCGGAAAGGCCTAGCTTCTCCGGCCAGGGTCTATCTCCCAGGCCTCCTAGTTGGATGAGCAAGTGCCAGGTGGGTTCAGATTTTCCGGCGACTTCGTGCAATAATAAAATCATTGGTGCTCGTTCTTATTACACCGGTTACCAAGCTGCTACTAGAACTAGAACTAGAAAGCAGCAGCGAATAGACGATGAAGTATCGGCGGAAACGTCATCACCCAGAGATAACAACGGGCATGGCACACATGTTGCCTCTATTGCAGCTGGATCTGCTGTTGCGAACGCTAACCTTTTCGGATACGCACAGGGAGAAGCCAGAGGCATAGCCACAAAGGCCAGAATTGCAGTTTACAAAGTTTGCTATCGAGGCGGCTGTGCCGATTCCGATATTCTTGCTGGGATGGATCAAGCTGTTAAAGACGGTGTGGACGTTCTTTCGCTTTCGATTGGTGGTCCAGATGGCGGCGCTTCCGGCGCCGCTAGGGATTACAGTCAGGATCCCCTTGCAATTGGAGCTTTTGGTGCGGTGGAATATGGTGTGAACGTCGTCTGCGCTGCTGGAAATTATGGCCCCCGTCCATACACTGCTAGGAACATCGCTCCATGGATTTTGACGGTTGGTGCTTCCACCATTAATAGGGAATTCCCGGCTGTGGTGATCCTTGGGGATGGCCGGACCTTCACCGGCACCTCCTTGTACTCCGGCGCACCACCAAGCCCAAACCTAGTTTCAGTGGTCTACGGCGCCGACGCCAACAGCGTTGACTGTGTTTCCAGACAACTCGACGCTTCAAAAGTCACTGGCAAAATCGTGTTTTGTGAGCAAGGAGGCGGTATTGTTGATAAAGGACTTGCTGTAAAGCGGGCTGGAGGCGTAGGAATGATAGTTCCTAACCTGCCTTATGAAGGCTACGAGCTTGTCGCCAATGCTGATCTGATTCCCACCTCAGTCGTAACCGCACCGGACGGAGAAATAATCAGGAATTATGTAAGGTCCACTTCTTTATCGCCAACTGCTAGATTTGAATTCCGGGGAACAGTAATCGGACCTTCTCCGTCGGCACCGCGTGTGGCGGCTATGTCAGGGCGCGGCCCCAATATACGGACTCCTGAAATTCTCAAACCGGATGTGATTGCACCGGGAATTAACATTCTAGCGGCTTGGACCGGCGCACGAGCCCCCTCCCAAAGCAGCGCTGATGATAGAAGAACGGAATTCAATATTATGTCCGGCACCTCCATGGCATGTCCTCATGTTAGTGCATTGGCCGCCATGCTTCAAAAGCTCTATCCACTATGGAACCCAGGTGCCATCAAGTCTGCACTCATGACAACAGCCGTCACTCAGGATAATTCCGGGAATGGTCTCATAGATCTTTCTACCGGACAACCATCCGTGCCCTATTTTCATGGATCTGGGCACGTTGATCCAACCAGGGTAGCAGATCCGGGTCTGGTTTATGATACCGGAATTGATGATTATGTGGATTTTTTATGTACCATTGGGTATGATAGCCAGACAATTGCGTTGTTCCTGCGGGATGGTCCTCCGGTGGATTGCAGCACGCGAAATTTGGGTAACCCCGGCTCTCTAAATTACCCTTCGTTTTCGGTTGTTTTAAAAAATAATCTCCTGACGGTAAAGTACAAGAGAACCGTTAAAAATGTGGGAACGGTCAAAAATGTTGTTTATGTGGCACAAGGGAATATTTCTCCCCGAAATGCGGTGAATGTGAATGTGTCACCAAATAGGTTGGAGTTTAGTGAAGGAAACGATATATTATCTTATGAGGTGACTTTTACAAGCGCTACACCAACTGATGCGGGGGCATACGGGTCATTAGTCTGGAGCGATGGGACACACATTGTTAGTAGCCCAATAGCTGTGATGTGGCAAGGTGCCGCTTTGAAGTCTGAACTCTAAATGTATGGATGAATGTGCCTAGTTTGTTCCTACGTAGCCCATGTAATAAAATAAATTATTATTATAGTGGATATATCCACAAATATATGTATGCAATAATATAATGGGCTTAGTTCCTTTCTATGTAACGTGGCCCAAGCACTTAAATAATAAATTCATACACAATCAACAAGAAGTTAACCAAACTAGAAGTTTAAGGAAATGGTAAGACTAACACATACACACAAAGATAAATACAAAATAAAGAAATAGGACTCAAAGTTAGGGAGCATTATCATATAGATACTTTAACAACTTATGGGATTAGGGAGAACAAATAACCAAGAAATCAAGAGGGAATGCATGTAGGTATCCTAGTCTACGAACCACTCTCGTGATTAATTGATTGTAGCAAAAATGAGTGATGGTGAGTATACGGGTGTGAAATGTCGTCCTCAGGGGATTGGGGGTTATGACACGCAATATGCAATCGCAATAAACTAGGCATAGTATAAGGAAACCAACAAGAAGCTATGCAAATCATAACGGAGTTAAAGACTACGGTAACTAAACAAAATAACACGAACACATATGAACAAGATGTAAACACGAAATAAAGAAATATGACTCAAGCTAGGGAGCATTATCTTCTAGATACATAGCACAACCTAAGGATTGTGGAAAATCACACAACCAAGGAATAGAGGGGATGCACGTAGGAATCATAGTCAATAAGTCACTCAAGTGAGCAAATTAACAAGGATTAGAACAAGGAATTGCCCCACTTTCGTGGTGAATCAACACCAAATTCTTCAAGAACACAAAGCATCTAAAACCCCCAATTTTCCCAATTTTCATAGGAAAAATCGAGTTTATGCAAGGAGTGGCTTGGAATCTTGACCCAACTCTCATTGAGGCCAAGGATCCTCCAAAACATGCCAATGAATGTTGTACACCAAGCATTAACAATATACAACCCTAGGTTAGAGTTCTTCCCCTTTTTGCAATAATCATAAATCAAGCATCAAGATAGAAAATACAATTATATTTTGGATATGTTTGTTTAAATGAAATAAATATAATTATATTTTGTACTTTTAATTAGTCTAATATATGTAAGATTTTTACATTTGATTTCTGAACCGATAACCTATTAACGTCACATAAAATTTAGATTAGACAATACACACGATGAGAGTAATTAAGTCTATAAGTATTTGATTGATTAACCAATACAGTTACAATAGTAGAGTCCTATAGGAGTAGGGAGTACAATAGTCTCCTATAGAATAGGCTAGGAAAAGTCAATTAAACTTTCATCACTAACCTATTAGACTATAATATTATTACTAACACACACACACTAATAAATTGGAAGGTATCTCACATTCCCTTCCAATAGCTAAAAACTTAATGCGGAGGTTATTTGACATTCCCTGAGAAAATTACATAACCTGAACTAGACATGAGAATCTTATATTACCAAGCAAATATAACCTTGGTTATCCTATATAACCTGAACCAAACGCCCCTAATTGTATATATATTTGAAATTTGAAAGGGTATTGATATATATTATATTAATTCTTAGTTTCATTTTCGTTGCTTTATATTAATTGCTTGCACCTTGTGCTCAGATGGCACCCAGGTTGAACTCTCACATGGGAGGTTGTAAGTTTGAGCCTCAGTTAAGGCGGTAGAGTCAAGCTGCCAAACTTCGTTGAAAATATGGTCATGAGTACAATTGCTCTTTTGCCCCAAAATTGGGCAATCAATGATAGCATTCCAATTTCGTTTTGGTTTCTTTCTGAAAAAAAAAAAAGAAATTTAAATTTAAATCCCAAACTTAAGAACCAATCAATGTTAACTAATTGCTCTTTTGCCCCAAAATTGGGCAATCAATGATAGCATTCCAATTTCGTTTTGGTTTCTTTCTGAAAAAAAAAAAAAGAAATTTAAATTTAAATCCCAAACTTAAGAACCAATCAATGTTAACTAGTAATTATAAGGTTACAAATTTAACTTTCAATAAGAGCGGCCGGTAACACAGAGTATGATTTACCACGTATACACATTAGATATATATGACCTGGGAAGGCTTATTTTGGTTAACTTTCCGCCACCTTTCCCGTTGGAACAGTCGCAGAAACTAATTATTTATGTATTTTTTAAAATGCAGTTGATCTTCCGCTACTGTTCTGTGAAGGAACAATCGCGGAAAACCAACCGCTTTTTTTTTTTTTTTTTTTTTTCCAGACCGCGACCGTTCTGTTTAGAAAGAGTTGCAGATTCTTATGCAAATATTTATATTTATGTCACCTGTGAGTTTATTTTTTTTTTTTTAATTTTTTTAAAGAAAACACCACCCTTCTTTTAAGAATAGTTGTCAAAAGTGAGTCTCCTTTGTTTATTTTTGTACTAGTGTTAACTTTTTGTCCATTTATCATTAGCTACGAAAATTTGAAATTTTTAACAAAGTATCAATTAATATCTTTGTTGAACGAAGATATTGGTCGGAAATGACGACGACGAGAATCCCAGTAGTGATGCATGGAAATGACTATGAACAAGGTGAGGATGAATGAATGCTTCTCAGAAAGCAGATTAAAAAGAAATTAATACAAGCTGGTTTTAAATTGTTGGTTAAGCTGAAGGAAATATGAATACTGGTTAATTGTCTTAACTAGATTCAGTATATAAAGGAAAGTATTTGCTTTTAGTCTCTCAATTATTCTCAACTACTTATTTTAGTTTATTACTTTTCGTGGTGGAAATATATGCCTTAACTTTATAAATAATAAAAAAAAAAAAGTTACACAATTTTAGTCTTTAGTTCAACAAAACTGTTAAATTAAACTTTGTTAGGATTTATGTCACAATTTAATGTTAAGAAGTTGAACTCGACTCTCTTGATGCTGGATGTATACCCAGAAAAACTGTTTTATAAAAGAACACTATTGAAAATTATGAAATTTTTGATCACCTGAAAGTGATCAAATCAAGTCAAAAGTAAAAAATAGTCGGAAATAGCAACAAAAGTTTTTCTGAATATCTAAAGTGGTCAGAAATTTCATAATTTTCAGCCGTGCAAGATGCTCCCAATTTATTATAGATAAATGTGAAGTGGTGTGCATGCATGCAAGCATCGTATAGTAATAAGCCACGTACCAGGCCTAGCTTTGCAGTACAATTATTGTTGTTTTGCATGCATGCCAAACACATGCTGAAAATCCTATACTAGCTAGCTCCTTCAATTCTTCGCCTATATATTCAGCAACGCATTTTTCTGTGCATTCATCCACACCTTCAGATCAATCATCAATGGCTGTTCCTTCTCGTCACCCTTCCTCCCGTCTCTTCATATTCTTATTATTATTATGTAGTCTCCTTTCAGTTTGCAGGGTTTCTTCTTCTACTGTAGTTTCAGTAGAGAAGGAGAAACCGGGGAGCTTTATCGTTTTCATGTTGAAATCTAAGAAACCCCTGACTTTCTCCACCCATTATCACTGGTATTCATCCATCATTCGTACACTTTCTCCTCTCTCTAACCACTCAACTGAGCTGTTGTACACCTATGAACATGTTGCCCATGGTTTTTCTGCACGCCTCACTCCCTCCCAAGTAGGGATGTCAATTTAGCCCTGAACCAATGGGCTGGCCCATTAAGCCCTAAAAATTGCAGGGCTAAAATCCAAAAAGATCAATCCAATAAGAAAGTAAGCTCATTGGGTTGGCCCTATTGGGTTATTGGATTGAGTTGGGCCAACTCATGGATTGTTGAGCTAGCCCATGTAATATTCAATGATTATTGGATGGACTATAGTCTATACAACTTGTGTGGACCATGAATAAAAGGTACATTTTTAATATATTAATTGTACATTATTTGTATATTGAAGGTACATTATTTGATAGTATATATGAAATAATGTACTTTTATACACTACACATATTATATGTACACTACACACAGATTGTACACACACACACACACTATATATATATATATATATATATATATATATATATATACACACACACACAGACACACACTGTACACTGTACACTGTACACACAATATATATACTACACACTGTACACACAATATATATACCACACACACTATATATATATATATACACACACACTGTACACACAATATATATACTACACACACACTATATATATATACACACTGTACACACACACACTCTATATATATATATATATATATATATATATATATATATATATATATATATATATATATATATATACATACATACTACACACACAGTACACACACACTGCGTGTGTAGTATATATATATATATATATATATATATATATATATAGTTATGAACCTACTCTATTTGTAATAAAAAATTTGTTTAGTGATTTAGCCCGTTGGATTAACCAACAACCCGTTGTTCAGGGTTAGGTCCAACCCAACTCAAAAAGAAAAAATAAAAATCCATTTTAGCCCAAGCCAACAAGTCCACCAACCCTGTAGGGCTAGTCCAAAACCCAACCGGTTCGCCCATTTGACATCCCTACTCCCAAGCGTCTCAACTACGAAACGTTCCGGGCGTGATCTCTGTCCTTCCGGACCAGCTCCACCAGCTCCAGACCACTAAGGCCCCTCAATTCTCAGGCTTAACTGACTTTTCTGGTATCTGGCCAGAATCTGATTATGGAGCTGATATTATAGTGGGTGTTGTGGACACTGGAATCTGGCCGGAAAGGCGTAGCTTCTCCGGCCATGGTCTATCTCCCAAGCCTAGCAGTTAGGTGAACAAGTGCCAGGTGGGTGCAGATTTTCCGGCGACTTCGTGTAATAATAAAATCATTGGTGCCCGTGTTTTTCACAAAGGCTTTGTAGCTGCTACTGGAAAGCCAATAGATGAATTATGGTTAACAGCCAGAGATACGAACGGGCATGGCACACATGTTGCCTCTATTGCAGCTGGATCTATGGTTCAAAACGCTAACCTTTTCGGATACGCACAGGGTGAAGCCAGAGGCACGGCGGTAAAAGCCAAAATAGCGGTTTACAAAGTTTGCCTGGGCTCTGCGCATGCAGGCTGTACCGATTCCGATATTCTTTCAGCGATAGATCAAGCTGTTGCAGACGGTGTGCACGTGCTTTCGCTTTCGTTTGGTGTCTCCCCTAGGCCGTACTATGAGGACCCCATCGCACTTGGAACTTTTGGTGCGGTGCAGAAAGGTGTGGTCGTCTCCTGCGCTACTGGAAATTATGGCCCCAATCCATACACTGCTAGAAACATCGCGCCATGGATGTTGACGGTGGGTGCTTCCACTATAAATAGGGAATTCCCGGCTGTTGTGACACTAGGGAATGGCCGGAGCTTCACTGGCACTTCCTTGTACTCCGGCGTACCGCCAAGCTCAAACCCAGTTACAGTCGTCTACGGTGGTCAGGCCAACAGCCTTTGCTGTCTTTCCGGACGACTTAACGCTTCAAAAGTTATTGGCAAGATCGTGTTTTGTGAGCCAGGAAACACTTCCGTTGTTGATAAAGGCGTTGCTGTATTGGGGGCTGGTGGCTATGGAATGATCATTCCTAACCCACTTCCCTATGGCTTCCAGCTTCAGGCCAACGCTGATATGGTTCCAACCTCAGTCGTTACCGTAGCGGACGGAGACATAATCCGGGAATATGTAAAGTCGTCTCCATTGGCAACTGCTAAAATTGAATTCAAAGGAACAGTAATCGGAAATTCTCCGTCTGCACCGCGGGTGGCAGCTTTCTCAAGCCGGGGACCCAATTACTGGACTCCAGAAATTCTCAAACCAGATGTGATTGCACCCGGAGTTAACATTCTAGCCGCCTGGATTGACACTAAAGGCCCCTCCCAAAGCAGCGCTGATAAAAGAAAAACGGAATTCAATATTATGTCCGGCACCTCCATGGCATGTCCTCATGTCAGTGGATTAGCTGCCCTGCTTCGAAACATCTGTCCAAACTGTAGCCCAGCTGCCATCAAGTCTGCACTCATGACAACAGCCGTCACTCAGGATAATTCCGGTAATAGTCTCATAGATCTTTCCACTGGACAACCATCCGTGCCCTATTTTCATGGATCTGGACATGTTAATCCAAACAAGGCAGCAGATCCGGGTCTGGTCTATGATACCGGAATTGATGATTATGTGAATTTTTTATGTACAATTGGGTATACTAGCAAGCAAATTGCGTTGTTCGTGCGGGATGGTCCTCTGGTGGATTGCAACGGGCGAAATTTGGGTAATCCCGACTCTCTAAATTACCCTTCATTTTCTGTTGTTTTTAAAAATAATCTCCGGATGGTAAAGTACAAGAGAACCGTTACAAATGTGGGAAAGGTAAAAAACGTTAATTATACGGCACAATGGAGTATTTCTCCCCCAGGCGCTGTGCATATGAATGTGTCGCCAAATGAGCTGGTGTTTACTGAGAGAAGCGATATATTATCTTATGAGGTGACTTTTACCAGCGTTACACCAATTAATCTGGGGGCATACGAGTCATTAGTCTGGAGTGATAATTATAATACACACTTTGTTAGTAGCCCAATAGCTGTGATGTGGCAAGGGGGGGCTTTGAAGTCTGAACTCTAAATGCGTGTATGCATGAATGGGCCTAGTTTGTTCCTATGTAGCCTATGCAATAAAATATATATTATGGTACGTGGATATATCCACAAATATATGTATGCAATAATAGGCTTAGTTCATTCCTATGTAACGTAGCCTAAGCAATGAAATAAATCCACACATAATCTATTATGGTGGACAAATGTTTTTATGATATCATTATAATTATTGCAATATATTTTCATTAATATCCATATAAGTATATTTGATCTTTTGCTCCTTTTTTATTTTGGTTTGCCCAAATGATTAAGACCATTGAATACACTACTCTTAGGCTCCCTTGGAAGTGTTTTGTCCATCCTCTTAGCTTCTCATTGGTTCTCATGGACTCCTAATGCAGCCAAAATGTTTCATTTGACTCCAATGCCCACCAAAATGCATGCAAATTAAATACTCATCTTTGCTTCCAAAACTTTTCAAACCAAACTCCTTGTAAAATAACACAATTTAGTCTTAATCTCATGGTATTTGGAATGATGTATAAGCAAAACGACTTAGTGAAAGGGAGAAAAATATAGACAAATAAGCATTTATCACTTTCCAAACCAAACTCTTTGCAAAATAACACAATTTAGTCCTTATCTCATGAAATTTGAAATGATCTACAAACAAAATGACTTAGTGAAAGGGAGGAAAATATAGACAAATAAGTACATATCAAATTTCCACCTAAGGCCAATTTATTGTGTATTTTTTGATATTTTTTTACATTTTATTGTGGCGTGTTTACCTTACACTGTTAGTGCATGTTGTTAACACTGTTAGTGTATTCTGAAATTTCGTCGCACCCATCTAAGAACATCGCCGCATTTGAACTTTTTCATATATATATATATATATATATATATATATATATATATATATATGGTAGGTGGAACGCATTTATGTATATCGAGTAAAATCGATCCTTTATAAAAAAAGATGCTCCCTCCCTCCCTCCCAATTTATTATTGTGCATAAATGTGAATCACGTTTTTAAATGATGTCGTTTTGATGTTTACATACATCTTTTTTTTTTCTGTTAGTTAATAATGACGTCCGCTCAGTCGTTTATGTGTTAGAATAATGAATCTTGTGGGGTAAGATAATGTATTTTATGAGTTAGAATAATATACTTTATGAATTATAAAAATGTGTATGTTGGGTAAGTTCTTAAGTGTTCATTCACGAGCTGTCCATTTTTTGTTTGAATAATGTACTTTTGATAAGTTTTGCGATTGTCCATGATTTATAATAATGTACTTTATACTTTAAAATAATGTATTTTATGAGTTATAAAAATGTATATTTTAGTAAGCTCTCAAGTGTTGATGAACTGACCATCATGTGTTTAGATAATAGACATTATGATGAGTTAGAATAAAGTAGTTTATTGGTCAGAATAATGTACTTTATGTTAAGAATAATGAACCTAACTTATGTATTAAGATAATGTATTTTATGCTTTAGAATAATGTAATTTATGAGTTATAAAAATGATGTATGATGCAGCAGCGGAATTAAGGAAGAAACAATAGAGAGGAAAATGTAGGTCGCGTGAAAAAATTTCGCAATTAAGGATAACGGTCTCTTAAATAAGGAGACGGAGTCGTTTTGGACATGTGTGGACCACGGTCCCGCAATAGCGATTGAATAAGCCATGTATCAGGCCAACTCGCTCTGCACGTACTACAATAATTAAAAAATTAAAAAATCAGTAGAAAGGGGTAAAAGGTAAAGGTAAAAAATGATTGAAAGAACTGAGCAGGGGGGATGTATATAAAGGAAAGAAGACCAATTTAAAAATTTTCAATTTGCTGACATTTTAATTTCTAACCACCTTTATTTGGTCGTCAGTTTTTCTGTCCACCAGAACCCTTCGACGAAAAATTTAAAAAAAATCTCCCTATTTCTTCACCAAACTTGGTCAAAGAATGGGGTAAAATGTGTAACAAATACACTTATCAATATCAATAATTATAATACTTTTATGTATGAAATAATGAATCATTAATTCATTCAACTACTATACGTACCAGGTAAGTTCAATTTTTGTTCACATGCTGAAAATAGGACCATTATCTGCAGTAGTTGATGGTGAATTTACAGAATAATGGTGGGAAGAAGATAAATACACATACAATGACAAGAGAGTGTAGAGAAATTGGACCACATCCAATAATAAGAAATTTAGGTGAATCACATTTAATTTATAGGAATCTATCGTGTTTTTCATGCACCATATATGAGTGGGAATAGTGTTTCATGCAAAAAACCAGGCCAGGCCACCATATATGGAGTTGATGCTCATTTTACGCAAAACTTCCTTCCTTCTTATCTGCATCTTCATCAGCGCAGCTAGATTTCTGTGCATGTAGCATTCACTCATATATACTCACTCCCTTCCGTGTTGCCCATGGTTTTTCTGCACGACTAACGCCCTCCCAAGCGTCTGAACTACGAAACGTTTTCGGCCATATGGAATTTCCGACCACCTGAAATTCTCCACTACTGGAAATTATAGAATTTCCGATCACCTGAAAGTGATCTTAAATCAAGTCGAAAGCCTTGTTCCGATCACTTTTGCTATCCGGAAAAACCTTTGTTGCTATTTTCGACTAGTTTTTGCTTTCGACTTGATTTAAAATTACTTTCAGGTGGTCAGAAATTCCATAATTTCCAGTAGTGCTCAAACGACCGTAGAGAACGGTTATAAATGTGGGGAGAATCAAGAACCCTGCTTATACCGTAGCAGTGGCTATTCCCTCGAAAAACGTCCGCGTGACTGTGTCACCAACCAGGCTGGTGTTTAGTGAGACAAATAATATACTAATCTTATGTGGTGACTTTTACAAGTGTTACACCAATGACTGAATCGGTATTGGGGTCATTAGTCTGGTTTGATGGGACGCACATGGTTAGTAGCCCAATAGCTGTGACTTGGCTATTAGGGGAAGGGGGAGCTTTGCATGCACTCTGAACTCTAAAGTCTAAATGCATGCATGAATGGGCCTAGTTTGTTCATATTTAGCCCATGCAATAAAATAAATTACTCCGTATATATATATATATATATATATATATATATATATATATATATATATATATATATTTCAATCTCTCTGTAGTGAAATGACTTTTTTTTTAACTGGGCACATTTCGATGTTCTCAGCCTCTACTTTTCCGAGCACCAGTGGTCGGAAATTTTGACCACTTGGTGTTCGGAAAATCTGGACCAGCCCGGTTATTCTCTTGACCATTTTTTCCGATTGCTTTAGAAAAGTGTTCGCTATTTCCGACCACTTTCTCCGTTAGTCGAAAATAGCTAGGGGAATTTTTTCGAATACCCAAATTGGTCGGAACAGGCGTTTCGGAAAATGGCAAATTTTCAACGGTGAATATTATGGTGTGTGTATATATCCATAAATAAATGTATGCAATAATGGGCTTAGTTCATTATATTCCTATGTGGACAAATATTTTTATGATATCATTATAATTATATTATTGCAATATATTTTCATTAATATCCGTATATATATGATCTTATGAGTTTGATGAAATGATGAGATTGTATTGAAAATATAATAGTTTATTAATGAGTCCTATTCTAGTAGGTATAAGAAATTTATGTGATTAGAGTTGTCAAAATAAATTAATTAGTCTAGTTCGGATTACGACATGCCAAAGCAAATGCAATGGGTCGATTTGGCAAACACAACATGTCTATATTTTCAAAGCCTAACTTGCCTAATGCCAGGCTAAACTACACAACATACCCAATTTTAATAGTTTAGACTTAAGAACTTAAGGCGGCCATAAAATTACAAAAAATAATGTCATATTCACAAAAATTTATACATATATTGTGAAAGCCTTATAATCTTAGAACACTACTGGAAATTCTGAAATTTCCGATCACCTAAAAATGATCTTAAATCAAGTCAAAAGCCTTGTTCCGACCACTTTTAATATATATCCAAAAAAACCCTTGTTGCTATTTCCGACCACTTTTTGCTTTCAACTTGATTTAAGATCACTTTTAGGTGGTCGAAAATTCATATAGATGGTCCTATTTTTAGCATTTAAATTGGATATATATGGCCAGCCATATCAAATTAACTTACTAAAAATAGGCCATATATATCCAACTCCCATGCAAAAAGTAGGACCATCTGCATGGTATAGTATTAACTCTATTATGGAAACAATAAAAATATATTATCTTTAATAACGTAACATTGTAATTGTAAGGATGGGAGTGTTGTCAGAGTTAATTAGGTACTTGTCATGACACCAAAATTTATAGCTAGTAACAAAAATTAAAGTAAATTTATTCCTACACCAAGCACCCCCGGCTCACTTTATTTCCTGAGTTGAATGTTGCCCCTCTAAAATACTAAAAAGAAATTGGTAATACTGTGCTAGTGAAAGAAAGTTTCAAGTGAAAAAGTATTCTTACGTGCATATAAATCTCAAGATTTTATGAATATCTCTATTAGTATGGTATTAATCATTGAGAAAACGTAACGATCTTGCTGTTATCCATAATATGGTAGGTGAAATGTATGCCCAGAAAAACCATGTTATAAAAGAATATGCATATATATATATATATATATATATATATATATATATATATATATATATATATATATATATATATATATATATATATGCTTCCAATCTATTGGGCAAATTATAGTTCACATAATGTTACGTGGAACATGACAAAAAGTACATTTTTAATATACTAAATGTACATTATTTTTATACTGAAAGTACATTATATTACATAATATAATGTACACTCAGAACAAAAATAATGTACATTCCCTAAATATAATGTATATTATTTTTGTATTAAATGTACATTATTTTACCATAGATAAAATATGGTTCACACAATAATGATTGAATTTATTGTGGATGGGCATAAATGTGAAGTGTGCCATCGTAATGAGCCACGTACTAGTATAGGCCTCGCCTCGCACTACAATTATTGTTCATTTGTTCTTCGACTGCAATGCACATGATTTATAAAATACGGTTATTTTATTTTTTATGAGGACCACCATGGAGTCCGGTGATAAGAGTTTAGGGGGTGGTGTATGTGGCAAATTAATGTGTAGTATACATTATTTGTATACTCAGAAAAACTGTTTTATAACAGAAGATACTCCCAATTTATTTTGGATAAATGTGAAGTGGTGTGCCATAATTAATCTATAGATCCATGGATTGTACTGTTATGTTGGGTAAATGGTGCACACGGGTCTAGATTCATAATTTTTATACTGTAGATTTATAATTTTTATACGGTAGATTTATAAAATCTATGCTGTAAATTTATAATTTAAATATAATATATTCATAATTTCTATACTGCAGATTCATAATTTATGTACTGTAGATTCATAATTTTTAAACTGTATAGTTATTAAATTATGAACATATAGTTATGTGATTTGTGAATACAGAATTCAACGAATGGAATATGAACATATAGCTCTATAATTATGAACATATATTTATAAAATTATGAATTTATGGTGCACACGGTTGAACAGCATAATTTGCTTAGATCCATGGTAATAAGCCACTTATAGTACGCTTTAATTTGCAGTAAAATTATTGTTCTTTGGCTTGCCATGCATCCACATGCTGAAAATCCAAGCTCCTTCTTCGCCTATATATTCAGAATTATTTTTCTGTGTATTCATCCACACCTGCCTTCACATGCATGCAGTCATCACTGGCATCAGATCAATGGCTGTTCCTTCCTTCCCTTCCTCCTTTCTCTTCATATTCTTCTTATTATGTACTCTCCTTTCTTCTACTGTAGTTTCAGTAGAGGAGGAGGAACCGGGGAGCTTCATCGTTTTCATGTCCAAATCTAAGAAACCCCAGGCTTTCTCCACCCATCATCACTGGTATTCATCCATCATTCGTTCACTTTCCCCTCTCTCTAGCCACTCATCATCTGAGCTCGTGTACACCTATGACCGTGTTGCCCATGGTTTTTCTGCACGACTCACGCCCTCCCAAGCGTCTGAACTTCGAAACGTTCCAGGCGTGATCTCTGTCCTTCCGGATCACATCCACCAGCTCCAGACCACTAGGGCCCCTCAATTCTCAGGCTTAACTGACTCATCTGGTCTCTGGCCAAACTCTGATTACGGAGCTGATATTATAATAGGTGTTGTGGACACTGGAATCTGGCCAGAAAGGCGTAGCTTCTCCGGCCAGGGTCTATCTCCCAGGCCTAGCAGTTGGCTGACCAAGTGCCAGGTGGGTCCAGATTTTCCGGCGACTTCGTGTAATAATAAAATCATCGGTGCCCGTGTTTTTTACCAAGGCAACGTAGCTGCTACTGGAAAGGCATTAAATCAATCATCGTTATCACCCAGAGATATGGACGGGCATGGCACACATGTTGCCTCTATTGCAGCCGGATCTATTGTTCAAAACGCTAACCTTTTCGGATACGCACAGGGTGAAGCCAGAGGCACGGCGGTAAAAGCCAAAATAGCGGTTTACAAAGTTTGCCTTGGCCCAGGCTGTACCGATTCGGACATTCTTGCTGCAATAGATCAAGCTGTTAAGGACGGTGTGGACGTGCTTTCCCTTTCGATTGGTGGTGTGGCTAGGCCGTACCATGAGGACCCCATTGCAATTGGAGCTTTTGGTGCTGTGGAGCATGGTGTGATCGTCTCCTGCGCCGCTAGAAATGATGGTCCCAATCGATATACAGCTACTAACCTCGCGCCATGGATGTTGACGGTGGGTGCTTCCACTATTGATAGGGAATTCCCGGCTGTTGTGACACTAGGGAATCGCCGGAGCTTCACTGGCACTTCCTTGTACTCCGGCGTACCGCCAAGCTCAAACCCAGTTCCAGTTGTCTACGGTGGTCAGGCCAACAGCCTTTACTGTCTTTCCGGACAACTTGATGCTTCAAAAGTCATTAGCAAGATCGTGTTTTGTGAGCCAGGTGGTAATAATTCCGTTGTTAGTAAAGGACTTGCTGTATTGGGGGCTGGTGGCTATGGAATGATCATTCCTAACCCACTTCCCTATGGCTTCCAGCTTCAGGCCAACGCTGATTTGGTTCCCACCTCACTCGTTACCGTAGCGGACGGAGACATAATCCGGGAATATGTAAGGTCGACTCCATTGGCAACTGCTAAAATTGAATTCAAAAGAACAGTAATCGGAAATTCTCCGTCTGCACCGCGGGTGGCAGCTTTCTCAAGCCGGGGACCCAATTCCTTGACTCCTGAAATTCTCAAACCAGATGTGATTGCACCCGGAGTTAACATTCTAGCCGCCTGGACTGACGCTAAAGGCCCCTCCGCCGGTGATTATAGAAGAACGGAATTCAATATTATATCCGGCACCTCCATGGCATGTCCTCATGTCAGTGGATTGGCCGCCATGCTTCAAAAGCTCTATCCACTATGGAACCCAGGTGCCATCAAGTCTGCACTCATGACAACAGCCGTCACTCAGGATAATTCCGGGAATAGTCTCATAGATCTTTCCACTGGACAACCATCCGTGCCCTATTTCCATGGATCTGGACACGTTAATCCAACCAGGGCAGTAGATCCGGGTCTGGTCTATGATACCGGAATTGATGATTATGTGGATTTCTTATGTACAATTGGGTATACTAGCCAGCAAATTGCGTTGTTCGTGCGGGATGGTCCTCAGGTGGATTGCAGCAGGCGAAATTTGGGTAATCCCGGCTCTCTAAATTACCCTTCATTTTCTGTTCTTTTCAAAAATAATCTCCGGACCGTAAAGTACAAGAGAACCGTTAAAAATGTGGGAAGGGTAAAAAATGTTGTTTATACAGCACAATGGAATATTTCTCCCCCAAACCTTGTGACTGTGAATGTGTCGCCAAATAGGCTGCAGTTTACTGAGAGAAACGATATATTATCTTATGAGGTGACTTTTACAAGCGTTACACCATTTGCTCTGGAGGTATACGGGTCATTAGTCTGGAGTGATGGGACACACTCCGTTAGTAGTCCAATAGTTGTGTTGTGGCAAAGGGCGGCTTTGAAGTCTGAACTCTGAACTCTAAATGCATGTATGCATGAATGGCCTAGTTTGTTCCTATGTAGCCCATGCAATAAAATAAATTACTCTCTATATATTATGGTATGCAGATATATCCACAAATATATGTGCTTAGTTCATTCCTATGTAATGTAGCCCAAGCAATGAAATAAATCCACACATAATCTATTATTGTGGATAAATGTTTTTATGATATTATTATAGTTATATTAGTGCAATATATTTTCATTAATATCCGTAAGTATGATCTTATGAGTTTGATGAAATGAGATTGTATTGAAAGTATAATAGTTTATTAATGAGTCGTCATATTCTAGTAAATATAAGAAATTTATGTGATTAGAGTTGTCAAAATAAATTAATTAGTTTAGTTTTGATTACGACAATATGCCAAATTAAGCAAAATCCAATGGGTCGATTTGGCAAACACAACATGTCTATATTTTCAAAGCCTAACTTGCCTAATGCCACGCTAAACTAGACAACATATCCAGTTTTAATAGTTTAGACTTAAGAACTTAAGGCCATAAAATTACAAAAACTAATGTCATATGTACAAAAATTTATACATATATTGTGAATGCCTATAATCTTAGAGCTACAATATGTACATGTGGATGTGTTAGGTACAATTAATTATGAATCATTAATTTGGCGATGAGAATGACGCAAATTTTGCATGGTGCATACGGATGCAAAAATGATGTCGTTTTGGTTAAAAAAAAACGCACGTCCCACTTAAAAAAGAAATCAGGTTCGATTCCCGGCAATATCATTTTTATATATTCATAAATTCATAACTATATATCCACAGTGAATGAATGAAGTAAAAATTCACAATTAATGAACTAAATATCCACAATGATTGAACTAAATATCCACAATGAATGAACTAAATATTCATAAATTCATATCTGTATATCCAGAAATTCATAACTATATATCTAGAAATTCATAACTATATATCCACAGTGAATGAGTGAAGTAAATATCTACAATGAATGAACTAAATATCCACAATGATTGAACTAAATATTCACAATGAATGAATTAAATATCCATAAATTCACAACTATATATCCATAAATTCATAACTATATATCCACAATAATGTTATTGCCGAGAATCAAACCTGAATTTTTTTTTAAGTGGAACGCGCATTTTTAATCAAAACGACGTCGTTTTGCATCGTATGCACCATGCATGGTGCATTCGGTTGCACAGCATAACTATTGTGAGAATGATAGGCTATCGTATGAGGTAACTTTTACAAACGCGAAATCAAAAGGTCTTAATGAATCATATACAGATTGTTCGTCTGGGAAGATGGGGTGCATGGTGTAGCAAAAATAAGATGTGAGCTCGGGTGTGAAATGTCGTCCTCAGGGGATTGGGGGATATGGCATGCAATATGCAATCACAATAAACTAGCCACTAGCATAAGAAAATCAACAAGAAGCTAAGCAAACTACAAGTTTAGGAAATGATAAGACTAACACATATACACAAAGATAAACACAAAATAAAGAAATATGACTCAAGCTAGGGAGCATTATCATCTAGATGCTCTAACAACCTAAGGGATTAGGGAGAACAAGTAACCAAGGAAACAAGCGGGAATGCACGTAGGTATCCTAGTCTACGAACCATTCTCGTGATTAATAAACAAGGATTAGAACAAGGAATTGCCCACTTTCGTGGTGAATCAATTCCAAGTCCATCAAGCACACAAAGCATCTAAAGCCACCAATTTCCCCTATTTTCGTAGGAAGAAATCGGGTCTATGCAAGGGGTGGCTTGAATTCATCACCCAACTCTCGTTGAGGCAAGGAATTCTCCAAAAACAAGCTAATGAATGTGTACATCAAACATTAACAAGATATAAATACAAAATCTTCACAAACACATGAACCCTAGGTTGGAGTTCTTCCCCCTTTTTGCAATAATCACAAATCAAGCATCAAGATAGATAATACAACCCTAACTCAAGTCCATAAACTAACTACTCATGATTAAATATCATAAAGAACACAAAAGCACAAGCATTAAACATAAATCTTGCAAAAGAAAGAGATAAAAGAAAGAAAACTTCTCTAAAGAAATTGGATGGTGGAATCTTGAAATGTTTGGAATCTAAGCTTCAAATCCAAGATTACAAGCTTCAAAAGTGTTAAGAAACATAAATCTAAGCATAATCTAACCTAAAAATATGAAGGAGAATGAAAGAGAGTGTCTAGGGTTCTAACAAGAGTCAAAACCGTGGAAATAGAGCTCAATTCGAGCTCAAAAAGGGGCAGAGCAGGTAGGGACGCCCTCAAGGATGGGGGTACGCCAGGGGGTACGCCACCTGCTTCATTCTTGAGCTGATGGATGGGCGTACGCAAGGGCGTCCCATTTTTGGTGCATTTCCAGTGAACACTGGAATGGTCGTACTGGCATGCGTACAGGCGTACGGCAGGGCGTACGCCACCTGGTTCCTTTTTCAGATCTCGGATGGGATGAGGGATGGGCGTACGCGAGGCAGTACGAGGCTCCTGGAAACAGAATTCTGTGCACTTGTCTTGACTTCTAGGCTATTTTCCTCCTCTAAAACCATTTTATTGGCACTTATGGTCTTCAACAAAGTCGTACCCCTTTAAGATGGCTTTCCAATGGTGCAAGAATCACCCCATTTGGACATTCCTAGGCCGAGATATGGTCAAAACACCGAACAGTGTCCGAAATGAGCGAAAATTACAATGTCTTGATCTTTTGCTCCTCTTTTGTTTTGGTTTGCCCAAATGACTAAGACCATTGAATACACCACTCTTAGGTTTCCTTGGAAGTGTTTTGCCCATCAACTTAGCTTCTCCTTGGCTACCATGGACTCTAAATGTATCCATAATGCTCCACTTGACTCCAATATCCACCAAAATGCATGATATTACTCATCTTTGATTCCAATGCTTTCCAAACGAAACTCCTTGCAAAATAACACAATTTAGTCTCAATCTCATGAAATTTAGAATGATCTATATGCAAAATGGCTTAGAGAAATGGGGGAAAATATAGACAAATAAACATTTATCAGTGCACATTGTTAGTAGCCCAATAGTTGTTATTTGGGTAAAATGGGTTCACAATTATATTTGCACTTTAAATATATGCAAAAATGGGCTTATTTTAGTTTTATGTATCCCATGTATAATAATGAAATAAATTTAAAATAGAGGAAATTTCAATTTTGGTTATATGACTATAGGGGTCTTGTTAATTTTAGTCCTTGATTTTTAAAAGTGTCAATTTAGTACCTTAATTATGTAATTTTTGTCAATTTTGGTCACACCGGCTAAATTGCCGGCCAAATTTCGCTGGAAAATTTTAATAATTAAAATAATGAGGATATTTTGGTCGTTTTACGCATCTTTTCTTCTTCTCCGGCGAGTCCATCCCTTTCTCTCCCGCTTCCGGCGTTCTTTCTCCCTGTAAACCCTATCTTTAATATCATCAAGCCTCATTTCCCCATCATCTTAGTTCATGGCATTCGCCGGAAACGGGAGAGGAAGAGATGTAATCGTTTGGGAAGAATAAAAGAGACGTGAAACGACCAAAATATCCTCATTATTTTAATTATTAAATTTTTTCGGTGAAATTTGACCGGCAATTTGACTGGAGTGACCAAAATTGACAAAATTGCATAGTTAATGTACTAAATTGACATTTTTGAAAGTTAAAGACTAAAATTAATAAGACCCCTATAGTCATATGACCAAAATTAAAATTTCCTACTTACAAATATTTCGTCGTTCATGTGGCCGGAATGATCCTTTGGTGGATTGTAATTTGAGTAATCTAGCCTCTTTAAATTACCCTTCATTTGAGTAACCTCCCAATCTTCTGCAAGCAAGGATCGCTGTAATTTTTTTTTATAAGAGTGGCTGATTATAGATTAGATTTCTACACACATACATACATGCATGCATCTCTCAATTTTATAGATATTTGTAGGTATTAGCCATTAGTGTTGGAAATTTTAGCAATAAATGATATTTTAAATATTTTTACAAATATTTGTGTTGTACATAAAAAAATTGATATATTGTATGTTAAATTAAAATAAATAATGGATAAATGAAAATTAATTCGATCTCAATGTAAATTACCCTATTTTTTCAAGAAAAAAAAAAGAACTTTATTAATCAAGCAAAATAAATGTTGATGGCACTTTCCATAAAACAAACTTAGGCCTAGGGAAGAGGTCTAAACTAGACAAAATGAATAAATAAATAAAGGAATGAACCCAAACCCAAAAAAGATGCCCATATATGCTTAAAGAATTGAAACAAATAAAATATAATAGTTATTGCGTGGACCACGGTCAAAAAATGACGTCTTTTTGTGTGTGTTTTTTTTTTTTTTTTGTGCGACCCGCTGCAACATTAATTTTTATAACTCATAATATACATTATTCTAAAACATAATGTACATTATGCTAACACATAATATATATTATTCTAAAACATAATGTACATCATATTTCCTCATAAGTTTCATTATTCTAACACATAATATACAATGACACCAAGATTGGACTCCTATATGAGAGATTGTGGGTTCGGGACTTAGGGGAGGTGGCAATGACTTTTTGTGCTTCATTTGATTGAGAAAGTAGATTATGAACAAATACTCTTGTGATAGAGCCTGAAAAAAAAAAAAAAAAAAAAAAACATGCACACCTCAAATCAAAATAACCAAATGATAATAATAAATGAATGAATGAAAACCTATTTGAGCACCTTAATAATGTTTTTATTATTATTATTATTATTATTATTATTATTATTATTATTATTATTATTATTATTATTATTATTATTATTATTATTATTATTATTAGCACGTTTCGCGTCAGTTTTAGCAACAATAGGCGCAAATTGTTCAATTTGTATGGTCATAGGAGCTCATTTTTACACTAGAAGCTTTTTTTTTTTTTTTTTTTTCACTATAAATGTGATTCACCTAAATTTCTCATTGTGGTCCCATTTCTCTACAATCGTCAATACACTGCCTTGACATTGTATGTGTATTTATTTTCTTCCCACCATTATTCTGTAAAATCACCGTCAACTGCAGATGGTCCTATTTTTAGCATTTATATTGGATATATGGTCCGCCCTATCCAATTAACTTGCTAAAATAGGCAATATATATCCAATTCACTTATTCACATGCTAAAAATATAGGACCATCTGGCCACGTATCTGGCCAGCTGGCTTTGCACCTACTACAATAAATCAATAATTAATGTATGTTCAGAATTCAGATCTTCGGCTTGCCATGCGATCCACATGCCAAAATTCCGAAAATCGTAGTTCCCGCCTTAGCTAGCTAGCTTCTTCAATTCGCCTCTATATATTATAGGAATATAAGAATTAAATAGGCTATTAAATCGCACATAATAATGTAATTAGACCACTGAACTTAAAAAAAATTATAATTGAATCCCTAAATTAACTTATTTTAAACAATTTATCCCATTTACAAGTTTTCCCCCTGTCTAACAGGTCATCCAATTTGAAATATATTTTAAAAATAATTTTTAAAAAATTTAATTAAAATAAACTAAAATTATTTTTTCAGACTACTTTTAGGGTGGTAGGAAAAATAGTCGAAAAATCAAAGATTTTCCGCAGTGATGTGGGTGTCCGTGTGTACGTATGGGCTTTCTCATGCTGGCTGATAAGTGCATTTATGTCCATATTTTTACCCCTTGTATAGACATATTTTGAGTGACAAACACTTTGATTTTATGCAAAGAAGTGCCTTAATTCCTTTGTTTCTATCTTTTGATGCATAAATTGTAGAGTGCAGGCAATTGTGTATTTTTGAGGTATTTTGGATGAATTTGGAGTCAATGAGAGCCAAATATGAAGCTATGGAGATGGATGCAACACTTCCAAAGGAGTCTAGGGTGGTTCTTTCAATGGTCTTGGTCATGTGGGCAAACCAAAGCAAAAGAGAAGCAAGCACCATGCAATTGCAATTCCCGACCTGCACGTCGACGTCATGGTTCTTGGACCATATCTCAAGCTAAAAACATCCAAATTACATGATTCTTGTCCCATTGCAAAGAAGACTCAAAGGGCTACAACTCATATTCAAACATCAAGGCCTAAAAAGGAAGCCACAGTGGTCAAAATCATCCTTGAAGTTGAAGTTCCGAACTTACAGATTTCACCCGAAACTGACCACTGTTTGGTAATTTGATCATATCTCGGCCTAGGATTGTCCAAATTAAGTGATTCTTACGCCATTTGAAAGAAGACTCGAAGATCTACAACTTTCATGAAGACATCGAAGCCTAATTCTGAAGACAAAAGGGTCAAAATTAGCCTGCAAGTAGAAGTTCTGTTGCAGATCAGCACTCGACGCGTCGAGAATTACTCTCGACGCGTCGAATCTTGGCAGAATGTCGCGATTTACATTCTGTAATTTCTCGACGCGTCGAGCAGCCCATCTCTGTTTCTTTTGACTGTGTTATAACTCATTTTTTGGAGAATAGAGTCATGTTAGAACCCTAAATAGCAAGAACTCGTTTTCTTTTCATTTCCTTAGCTTAGATTAGTCTAGTATTTCATCTCTAACTCTTCTACAAAGCTTGTAATCATGGATTGGAGTGAGATTCAACCACAAAATCTTCATCTTCAATAGAGAAGCTTCTTACTCTTCTTCTCAAGCTTTTGTGCAATGTTTATGATATTTTCTTGTGCTTTGTTGTTATTTATGCTTATGAAGTGTGAGTAGTTCGTTTTTGGGCTTGGATTAGGGTGATATTGCCAACCTAGATGCTAAATAGGTGATTATTGCATAAGGGGGAAGAACCCTAACCTAGGGTTCATTTGTTTGAGTTGGTTTTATGTTTAATCTTGCTAATATTTGGTACGTAACTCTTATTAGTTTGCTTTTGGATAGTTTTTCTCCACAATGAAAGTTGGGGGAAGAATTTAAGCCTCTCCTTTCTCTAAACCCATTTTCTTTCTATGAAAATAGGGAAGAATTGTGGGCCTAAATGCTTATGTGCTTTAAGAGCTAGGAATTGATACACCATGAAAGTGGGGCAATCCTTGCTCTAATCCTTGTTCTTTAGCTTATGAAAATGGCTTTAAGCTAGGATTTTTATGTGCTTTGCCCTTATGTTCCCTTGGTTGATGTTCTCCCCTAATCCCTAAGTTGTTAAAGCATCTAGAAGGCAACATCCCCTAATTTGAGCCCATCTTTTATCATTGTGATTACTTGTGTTTAAATTGCATTGTCTTAACCAGATTTTTAGCCTTTAATTGTTGACATTACCCAACCATGAATTTGAATTTGCTTGGATTCTTGTGGGTTCCAATACTTTGGTGCCTAGAACTTTAGTTGTCACTCAAGTACGTGCCATAGTCCCAATCCCTTGCGGAACGACAATTTACACCCGTATACTCACCACCTCTTTCCCGTACATCACTGGCGCAATGTCCGTGCCCATACACGGATCGACGCCCGTGTGACGTCATCAAAGAGAGACATCATAACGATCGCTTGTCTTGACTCTTGAACGCGATCCTTCTTCCAGGTTATCCAATACTACTCTCGATCATCTCAAAAAGGGTTTGTTAGTGCTGGAAATCATCAAAGAATCTCCCTTTTTCTTCACTTCCCTTGTGGTCGAAGATAAAAACACCTAAAGATGAGAAATAACACTAGTAAGCCTTATGCAATGAAATAAATGGGGCAAATTAATTAAGCACAAACTTGGTCAAAGAATGGGGGTAAAATGTGTAACAAATACACTTATCAGTTTCATCAATTGTAATACTTTTATGTATGAATTATGAATCATTGTATTAATTGATTCAACTACGTACCAGGCCAATTCAAATTTTGTTCACATGCTGAAAATAGGACCATCTGCAGTTGATGGTGATTTTACAGAATAATGGTGTTAAGTAGATAAATGCACATTAACACATACAATGACAAGGGAGTGTATTGACGATATGATTGTAGAGAAATTAATTGGACCACAATATAATAATGAGAAATTTAGGTGAATCACATTTATAGGCCGGCCGGAATCGTGTTTTTCATGCATCATGAGTACGTGGGAATTGTGTTTCAATTCATGCACGACTAATGTGTGCACGCAAAAACCAGGCCAGGCCACCGGAAAACTCCCTTTGTTCTTATCTGCATCTTCATCAACTAGCTTTCTGTGTAGTATTCACTACTCCCTTCATTCTTATCTGCATAATATTCATCAGCTTTCTGAGTAGCATTCATTCATACTCACCTTCAAAGTTACTGCCATGCATCATCATCAATTATTGCTGCTCCCTCTCTCGCTTCCTCCTTCCTATTCATGCCAATTCAACTTTCAAAATTTAACTAGCGGTGGTCCTCCTGGAAGGATTATGGCTGGTTAAAATTTGATAGTTGAATGATCATATATGGTGATTAATTCGGACCAATGGATTGTAACAATTTAAAAGTTGAAGAATTTAATTAACGCTAAACGTAGCAAAATCACTATACTCTAAAGACATATCATTCCAGATGGTATTAACTTTATTGTGGAAACAATCAAAATATATATATTAGCTTTAATAACATTGTAATTGTAATGATGGGAGTGTTGTTAGACATAATTAGGTGCTTGTCATGACACTAAAATTTATAACTAGTAACAAAAACATAAAATTATTTCTACACCAAGCATCCCCCCTCCACCCACACACTTTATTTCCTTATCTGAATGTTGCCCTCTAAAAGTGATGCCAAACAATCCCTTCTCAACTTTACTTCCTTATACATGTTTAGTACATAGTTAGCCCAGTACATATTTAAATGGCAGAATATTGAACTTGACTTTTTAAGCCAACGCCCAACAAATGTGTCTCCATTCTTGGCTTCTTGAAGGTGTATATACTACTTCAAGATTTTATTACAAAATATGGCTAAAGAAAATGTTAAACGTAACACTTTACAATTGCCACTCACAAAAGAACTATGTGACAAAATACTAGACACTAGTTTTTTTTACTCCATTACCATTCTAATTATTAGCTTCTTAGCATGAAAATGTTTAGAAACTGAGGTGATTCATCATGGTCCCGTAATAGCAATAGCAATTGAATAAGCCAGGCCAGCTGGCTTTGCACCTACTACAATAATTAGCGAATTCGCCATTATATATATCCACAGTCACTGGCTCATCATCATCATCAAATCATCAATATACATGCATGCATAATATAATATAATGGCTGCACTTCTCGCTCCAACCTCCTTTCTCTTCATACTCTTCTTATGTCTCCTTTCAGTCTGCAGGGTTTCGGTTTCTTCATTGGAGGAACCCAAGAGCTTCATCGTTTTCATGTCGAAATTTGAGAAGCCTCAGCTTTTCTCTACCCATCATGACTGGTATTCATCCATTATCCATACACTCTCTCCTCTCTCTAACCACTCAAGATCATCCGAGCTCTTGTACACCTATGAACATGTTGCCCATGGTTTTTCTGCAAGCCTGACTCCTTCCCAAGCGTCTGAACTAGAAAACGTTCCGGGTGTGATCTCTGTCCTTCGGGATGACCTCCTCGAGCTCCAAACCACTAGGACTCCTCAATTCTTAGGCTTAAGTAGTTCTGCCGCATCTAGTCTCTGGCCTAGCTCTGATTACGGAGCTGAAATTATAGTCGGTGTTCTGGACAGTGGAATCTGGCCCCAAAGGTCTAGCTTCTCCGACCAGGGTCTATCCCCCGTTCCTAACGACTGGAGGAACAAGTGCGAGGTTGGTCCACAGTTTCCGGCGACTTCGTGTAATCGGAAAATCATTGGTGCTCGTGCTTATTACAGAGGTTACGAAGCTGTTACTGGAAGGCCAATAGTTGATGAACCTAAATCAGCGATAGATATGACCGGGCATGGCACACATGTTGCCTCTACTGCAGCTGGATCTGCTGTTGCGAACGCTAACCTTTTCGGATACGCTCAGGGTGAAGCCAGAGGCATAGCCACAAAAGCAAGAATTGCAGTTTACAAAGTTTGCTGGCTGGGAACGTGTACCTATGCTGATATTCTTTCTGGGATGGATCAAGCTGTTGCAGACGGTGTGCATGTGCTTTCGCTTTCCATTGGTCTTAAAAATAAAGAAGGCTTCGCTAAGCCGTACAATGAGGATCCCATTGCAATTGGAGCTTTTGGTGCGGTGCAGAAAGGTGTGATCGTCTCCTGCGGTGCTGGAAATAGTGGCCCCGATCCATATACTGCCATCAATATTGCGCCATGGATTTTGACGGTGGGTGCTTCCACTATTGATAGGGAATTCCCGGCTGTGGTGACACTAGGGAATGGCAGGACCTTCACTGGCACCTCCTTATACTTTGGCATACAACCAAGCCCAAACCAAGTTTCAATGGTGTACGGTCGTCGCGCCAACAGCCGTTACTGTCTTCCCGGACAACTTGACGCTTCAAAAGTCAGGGGCAAGATCGTGTACTGTAAGCAACTAGCCAATATTACCATTGTTGATCAAGGATTTGCTGTAAAACAGTCTGGTGGCGTGGGAATGATCATTTCTAACGTGCGTCATCAAGGCTACGAGCTTGTCGCCAATGCTGATATGATTCCCACGGCAGTGGTTACCGCAGCCGACGGAGATATAATCTATGATTATGTAAAGAACACTAAATCGGCAACTGCCAGGATTGTATTTAGGGGAACAGTAACCGGAAATTCTCCGTCTGCACCGCGTGTGGCTGCTTTCTCAAGCCGGGGACCCAATTTCTTGACTCCTGAAATTCTCAAACCAGATGTGATTGCGCCAGGAGTTAACATTCTAGCGGCCTGGACTGGTGCAATAGCGCCCTCCGAAAGCACCAAGGATAATAGAAGAACGGAGTTCAATATTATGTCCGGCACCTCCATGGCATGTCCTCACGTCAGTGGATTGGCCGCCATGCTTAGAAAGCTCTATCCAAGTTGGAGCCCCGCTGCCATCAAGTCTGCGCTCATGACAACTACTTACACTCTGGATAATTCCGGGAGGAGTACTCTCATAGATCTTTATACTGGTTACCCATCCACCCCCCATGCTCATGGATCTGGACACGTTGATCCAACCAACGCAGCAGATCCGGGTCTGGTCTATGATACCGGAGTTAATGATTATGTGGATTTTCTATGTACCATTGGGTATGATAGCCAGAAAATTGCCCTGTTCTTGCGGAATTCTCCTCTGGTGGATTGCAGAAATCGGAATTTGGGTAATCCAGGCGCGCTAAATTACCCTTCCTTTGCAGTTGTTTTCAAAAACAATCTCCAAACCATAACATACAAAAGAACTGTTAAAAACGTAGGGAAGGTGAAGAATGTTGCTTATCAGGTAACAGTGCGTACGCCCTCAAATGTTCGTGTGAATGTGTCACCGAGTAGGCTGGTGTTTAGTGACAGAATCGATAAACTATCTTATGAGGTAACTTTTCAAAGCGTTCCGCAATTTGCTGATCCTTCATTCGGTTCTTTAAGCTGGAGTGATGGGACACATCTTGTTACTAGTCCAATAGCTGTAATTTGGGAAGCACGTTCGGTCTCTGATCTCTAAACGTATGCACGGATGAGCCTATCTAGTTTTTTTCTATGTAGTCCATGCAATAAAATAAATTATCTATTATAGTGGATATATCCTATCCATAAATAAATGTATGCAAAAATGGGCCTAGTTCACTATTATGTAGCCCATGTTATGAAATAAAATCACCCATAATCTATTTAGTCGTTATATCATGCACCGCGGTGCATAATCGATTATGCATCGCGCATCAAAATGGTGTCGTTTCTGCAGTTATAATATAGTGACACTACAGTGTGTCTAAATTGACAGTGTCTCACGTATTATTTTTATATTATCAAATTAAACTGCAGATATATTAAAATGATACTGTAGTTGTGGTAAAATGAAACTACAGTATATATAAAATGAAACTGAATAACATTTCACATATTTGAGTGTATATTGTACAATGAAGCTGTAATTATATTGAAATGATTATGTAGTTGTGTTTTAATGAAACTATAGTGTATATAAAATAAAATTAATTAACATTTTCACATATTTGAGTGTATAAATTAAGCTGTATATCGAAATAAAACTATAGTAGTGTTGAACTGAAACTGCAGTATATACAAAATGAAATTGATGAAGAACAGAGTTGTTTTTTGCGAAGATTCTGTTTCTTTTCATTAAATTAAACGACGTCGTTTTGATGCGCGGTACATGCATAATCGATTATGCACCGCGGTGGACGATATAATTTGCCTAATCTATTATGGTGGGCAAATGTTTTCATGATATTGTTTTAATAACTATTGCAATATATTGTCATTAATATATGTAATTATATATTTTATGAGTTTACCACCAAAAAAATCCACACATAACTTGTTGTGCTACTCTCGATCATCTCAAAAAGGGTTCCTTATTAGTGCTGGAAATCATCCAAGAATCTCCTCTCTTTTTTTTCACTTCCCTTGTGGTCGAACCGTCGAAGATAAAAATTAAACACCTAAAGATGAGAAATAACACTAGTAAGCCTTATGTGCAATGAAATAAATGGGCCAAATTAAGCACAAACTTGGTTAAAGAATGGGGGTAAAATATGGAACAAATTAAATACACTTATCAGTATCAATAATTGTAATACTTTTATGTATGAATTATGAATCATTAATACATTCAACTACGTACCAGGCAAGTTCAATTTTTGTTCCCATGCTGAAAATAGGACCATCTGCAGTTGATGGTGAATTTACAGAATAATGGTGGGAAGAAGATAAATACACATACAATGACAAGGGAGTGTATTGACGATATGATTGTTGAGAAATTAAATTAATTGGACCACAATATAATAATGAGAAATTTGGGTGAATCACATTTAATTTATAGGAAATAGAAATCGTGTTTCATGCAAAACTTCCTTCATTCTTATTTGCATCTTCATGAGCTAGCTTTCTGTGCATGTAGCATTCACTCATACCCACTCCGTCCCTTCATTCTTATCTGCATATATATTCATCAGCTTTCTGAGGGAGAAGCACTCATTCATACTCACCTTCATAGTCGTTACTACCATGCATGAATCCTCATCATCAATTGCTTCTCCCTCTCTCGCTTCCTCCTTCCTATTTATGTCAATTCAACTTTCAAAATTTAACTAGTAGTGGTCCTCCTGGAAGGACCATGTGCGATTAAAATTTAATAGTACTATACAGTTGAAGGGATGATTAACTCAGATCAATATAATAGATGGTAACAATTTAAAAATCCAAAAATTTAGAACTAAACGGGGCACTCATCCTAGTTTTGGACATTACATTTGTGGACCACGGTCCCCGCAATAGCAATTGAATAAGCCATGTATCAGGCCAGCTGGCTTTGCAGCTACTACAATAATTATTTTATGTTCCCGCCTTAGCTTCTTCAATTCAATTCGCCTCTATATATATCCACACCCACTGCCATGCAGAAAGGCATCCTCATCATCAAATCAACAATATAATATATATAATGGGAGTTCTCGCTCCAAGTTCCTTTCTCTTCATATTCATCTTATGTCTCCTTTCAGTCTGCAGGGTTTCGGTTTCTTCATTGGAGGAACCCAAGAGCTTCATCGTTTTCATGATGAAATCTGAGAAGCCTCAGCTTTTCTCTACCCATCATGACTGGTATTCATCCATCATCCATACCCTTTCTCCTCTCTCTAACCACTCAAGATCATCTGAGCTCTTGTACACCTATGAACATGTTGCGCATGGTTTTTCTGCACGCCTCACTCCCTCCCAAGCGTCTGAACTAGCAAACGTTCCGGGAGTGATCTCTGTCCTTCCGGATCGCCTCGTCGAGCTCCAGACCACTAGGTCTCCTCAATTCTTAGGCTTAATTTCTGGGTCATCTAATCTGGGGCCTAGCTCTGATTACGGAGCTGATATTATAATCGGTGTTCTGGACAGTGGAATCTGGCCAGAAAGGTCTAGCTTCTCCGACAGGGGTCTAAATCCCATTCCTAACAGCTGGAGGAACAAGTGCGAGGTTGGTCCAAATTTTCCGGCGACTTCGTGTAATCGGAAAATCATTGGTGCTCGTGCTTATTACAGAGGCTACGAAGCTGAAATTGGAAAGCCAATAGTTGGTGAACCTAAATCAGCGAGAGATGTGAACGGGCATGGCACACATGTTGCCTCTATTGCAGCTGGATCTGCTGTTGCGAACGCTAACGTAAACGGACACGCACGGGGTGAAGCCAGAGGCATAGCCACAAACGCCAGAATAGCAGTTTACAAAGTTTGCTGGCTGGGAACGTGTTCCAATGCCGATATTCTTTCCGGGATGGATCAAGCTGTTGCAGACGGTGTGCACGTGCTTTCGCTTTCCCTTACTTCTAAGAGTAAGACGGGCTTCGCTCTGCCGTACGATGAGGATCTCATTGCGATTGGAGCTTTTGGTGCGGTGCAGAAAGGTGTGATCGTCTCCTGCGCTGCTGGAAATTATGGCCCCGATCCATATACTGCCGTCAACCTTGCGCCATGGATTCTGACCGTCGGTGCTTCCACTATTGATAGGGAATTCCCGGCGGTGGTGACACTAGGGAATAGCCGGAGCTTCACTGGCACCTCCTTGTACTCCGGCGTACAACCAAGCCGAATCCAAGTTCCAGTGGTCTACGGTGGTAGCGCCAACAGCTTTTACTGTTTTCCCGGACAACTTGACGCTTCAAAAGTCAGGGGCAGGATCGTGTTTTGTGAGCAAGGAGACGATACTTCCATTGTTGATAAAGGAGTTGCTGTAAGTCAGGCTGGTGGCGTAGGAATGATCGTTCCTAACCTACCTAACGAAGGCTACCAGCTTGAGCCCAACGCTGATAGGATTCCCACCGCCGTCGTTACCGTAGCGGACGGAGAAATAATCCGGCAATATGTAAGGACGGCTTCATTTCCAACTGCTAGAATTGAATTCAAGGGAACAGTAATCGGAAATTCTCCGTCTGCACCGCGTGTGGCTGCTTTCTCATGCCGGGGGCCCAATTTCTTGACGCCTGAAATTCTCAAACCAGATGTGATTGCACCAGGAGTTAACATTCTAGCTGCCTGGACTGGCAGCTTAACGGAGTTCAATATGATCTCCGGCACCTCCATGGCATGTCCTCACGTCAGTGGATTGGCCGCCATGCTTAAAAAGATCTATCCAAGTTGGAGCCCCGCTGCCATCAAGTCGGCGCTCATGACAACTGCTTACACTGTGGATAATTCCGGGAGGGGTACTCTCATAGATCTTTACACTAGACAGCCAACCACCCCCCATGCTTATGGATCTGGACACGTTGATCCAACCCACGCAGTAGATCCGGGTCTGGTCTATGATGCCGGAGTCAATGATTATGTGGATTTTTTATGTACCATTGGGTATGATAGTCGGAAAATTGCCTTGTTCCTGCGGAATTCTCCTCTAGTGGATTGCAGAAATCGGAATTTGGGTAATCCAGGCTCTCTAAATTACCCTTCCTTTTCAGTTCTTTTCAAAAACAATCTCCAAACCGTGATATACAAGAGAACTGTTAAAAACGTTGCCAAGGTGAGGAATGTTGCTTATCAGGTAACAGTGCAAACGCCCTCAAATGTTCGTGTGACTGTGTCACCGAATAGGCTGGTGTTTACTGACCGAATCGATACACTATCTTATGAGGTAACTTTTCAAAGCCTTAGACAATCTGCTGATTCATTCGGGTCATTAAGGTGGAGTGATGGGACGCATCTTGTTACTAGCCCAATAGCTGTGAGTTGGGAAGGACGTTCGGTCTCTGAACTCTAACTATATGCACGGATGTCTGCCTTGTTTATTCCTATGTAGTCCATGCAATAAAATAAATCCATTATAGTGGATATATCCTAATCCTATCCATAAGTAAATGTATGCAAAAATGGGCCTAGTTCACTATTATGTAGCCCATGTTATGAAATAAAACCACCCATAATCTATTATGGGGGACCTATGTTTTTATTTTATGATATTGTTATAAATCCACGCAAGAGACAGACACATGTTTTAGTGTTTTACAATATAAATAAAATTAAAATTTAAAATTACATCGTTCATGACTAGGGCGGTAAATGAGCCGAGTCCCAAGTCGCTCGCGAGCTACTCACGAGTCGTTAGGTCAAAGTTCGACTCGAGCTCGGTCAAAATTGAGCTCGAGCACTTTGTTTGATAATCGAGTTCAAGCCAAGCCTAAATATTTTAAGTTCGTGGCTCGTCGAGCCGCTCGCGAGCCGTATAATATATAATATTTATAATATATAATATAACATAATATATTATAATATATAAAAATAACAATTAAAAAGTTCAAGATCAAGTTCGAACTCGAGTTCGAGCTTGAGCTCGAACAATCGAGCTAGAACTTGAGCATCAGTTCTTGAGCTCGAGCTCGAACCGAGCTTCCATTAACGAGCTCGAGCTCGAGCCTACCCAGGCTCGAGCTCGGCTCGGCTCGTTTACACCCTTATTCAGGATCATAATCCACAGTGCACTGTGGGTCCTAGTCCACGGTATAACAACTACTTCACATGTAACAATTTAAAATTAAAGTCGAAGAATTTTAAACTAGACGTGGCAAAATCACTATACTCTGAAGACCTCATTTCATCTAGATGGTATTAACCACTAGACTAAGCAAGCAAAAAGACTTCTGCTGTTAAATACGCATACAATGGCAAGAGATCAAGTGTATTGACGAAGAAATTCAAAATGTTAATTGTTAACGTAAGGATCAAATATCCGCTCTATAGATGTAAATCGCGAGTTGTGAAATCAATTCGCCAGTCAGATCATATATAGTCTTTATGTGCACACAAAGGGTCTAATGATAAGTGCTTATTTGTCTATATTTTCCCCCTCTTTCTCTAAGCCATTTTGCATATAGATCATTCCAAATTTCATGAGATTGGGACTAAATTGTGTTATTTTGCAAGGAGATTGGTTTGGAAAGCATTGGAAACAAAGATGAGTATTTTCAGGTATTTTGGTGGACATTGGAGTCAAATGGAGCGTTTTGGATGGATTAGGAGTCCATGGGAGCCAATGAGAAGTTAAGAGGATGGACAAATACTTCCAAGGGAGCCTAAGAGTGGTGTATTCAATGGTCTTAGTCATTTGGGCAAATCAAAACAAAAGAGGAGCAAAAGATCAAGACATTGTAATTTTCGCTCATTTTGGATACTGTTTGGTTTTTTGACCATATCTCGGCCTATGAATGTCCAAATGAAGTGATTCTTGCACCATTGGAAAGAAAACTTAAAGGGCTACAACTTTGTCGAAGACCATAAGTGCCAATAAAATGGTTTTAGAGGAGGAAAATATCCTAGAAGTCAAGACAAGTGCATAGAATTCTGTTTCCAGGAGCCTCGTACGCCCTGTCGTACGCCCGTACGCATGCCAGTACGCATCTCTTCGCCCTGATCCAGTTTTCACTGGAAATGCACCAAAAAGCGTACCCCCTGGCGTACGCCCATCCAAGAGGCCGTCCCAACCTGCTCTGCCTCCTTTTAACCCCGTTTTCTCTCATTTCTACATGGTTTTGACCCATATCATGGTTGAGCCCTAGCTTCTCTCTCTCACTTCCTTTCATATTATAGTGTTAGATTAGGTTTAGATTTAAGTTTCTTAACATTTTTCAAGCTTGTAATCAAGGATTCAACACTTGGATTCCAAGATTTACCATCCATTTCTTAGTGAAGTTTTCTTCTCCCTTTTATCTCTTTATCTTGCAATGTTTATGTTTTACATTTATGTTTTTGTGTTCTTTATGATATTGAATCATGAGTAGTTAGTTTATGGACTTGAGTTAGGGTTGTATTATCTATCTTGATGCTTGATTTGTGATTATTGCAAAAAAAGGGAAAGAACTCCAACCTAGGGTTCATGTGTTTGTGAAGGTTTTGTATTTATATCTTGTTAATGTTTGATGTACACATTCATTAGCTTGTTTTTAGAGGATTCCTTGCCTCAACGAGAGTTGGATGATGAATCCAAGCCACCCCTTGCATAGACCTGATTTTTCCTATGAAAATGGGGGAAATTTGGGGCTTTAGATGCTTTGTGTGCCTGATGGACTTGGAATTGATTCACCACGAAAGCGGGGCAATTCCTTGTTCTAATCCTTGTTTATTAATCACGAGAATGGTTCGTAGACTAGGATACCTACGTGCATTCCCGCTTGGTTCCTTGGTTACTTGTTCTCCCTAATCCCTTAGGTTGTTAAAGCATTTAGATGATAATGCTCCCTAGTTTGAGTCCTATTTCTTTATTTCGTATTTATCTCTTGTTCATATGTGTTTTTGGTATTTTGTTTAGTTACCGTTGTCTCATCCTCGTTATGGTTTGCTTAGCTTCTTGTTGATTGCCTAGTGCTAGTGCCTAGTTTCTTGTGATTGCGTATTGCGTGTCATATCCCCCAATCCCTTGAGGACGATTTTTCACACCTGAGCTCACATCTTATTTTTGCTACATCATCTAACTAACCTCAGCTCGACCTTCTAATATTTTTGGACAATTTTTCCTATACATGTTTCCAATGAGATTTGAATTAAACTTCACAATGATCCCACCAGTTATGATCGCGACAAACCAACTATCCTAAATCCCGGAAGAATATCCTAATCCTTAGCACTACAATGTGGATATCTTAGGTACACTTAATTTTGAATCATTAATTCATTCAGCTACCCAACCTCCTTTAAAATGACAAGGGGGTGTATTGACGAATGTAGAGAAAGTGGACCACATCCAATAATGAGAAATTTAGGTGAATCACATTTAATTTATAGGACATCTTCATAAAATTTAAATTAGTTTGTTTACATATTAAAATTTAACATTTCGTTTTCCAAAAAAAAAGTAAACACTTTTTAAAATAAAACTATTAGCATGATCATGATCTAGCATTCCATAATGAAGTAGCAATATTGTTGCGAATCTCCTTCATCTCCATAGAGGTGTGACTTAAATTTTCGTTGATGGAGATATTACTACTTGAATCTTGAAGTTCATCGGGCGGTATGTAATCTGGATGCTGCTCAAGCACATTAAACATCATGTCATCTTGTGAATTCTTCCGAATATAATTATGTAGTGCAAATGTGGCCATAATAACATCAATTTAGATCTCCTCACTAAACTGCGACATTTTAGCAAATATTTTCCATCTCTTATTCAATACTCCAAACGACCTCTCAATACAACTTCGAAGAGAAGAATGTACACGATTGAATGCTTCTTGAGCATTAGTTGGCGGCTCTTGTTCAATTTGAGATTGAAGCCATATTGGTAATTTTAAAATAACATTAATAATAATAATAATAATAATAATAATAATAATAATAATAATAATAATAATAATAATAATAATAATAATAATAATAATAATAAGCTAAAGTTTCAACATAATTGTTTAGCAGGAAACAAGACTAAGGAAGGGATTGACGTAAAAGTTGGGATAGGGGAAGAGAAAGTGTTTTAATTCATAAGGTTAAAATATGTCATTATTTTAAAATAATAAGGGGTAAAGATGGAAAAAAAGTTAGGAAGCTAGTAGCTTATTTTGAAACGCTACCTAAAGTAGCGTTCCAAAATAAACTCTTATTTTGAGCTAGGAGCTTATTTTGGGAACATTACCAAACAGAGCTTATAGCTTATTAGTAGTTTAAAATAAGCTATAAGCTCCTAGCTTAGCGTTGCCAAACAGAGCCATAATCGTGTTTTTCATGCACCATGAGTACGTGGGAATCGTGTTTCATGCACGACTAATGTGTGCACGCATGCAAAAACCAGGTCAGGCCATAGTATAGGTGATTTTACGTAAAACTAAACGTGACAAAACAACCATACTCTAAAGACCTCATTTCATGTATTGATGAAGAAATTCAAAATGTTAACTGTTAATGTAAGGATCGGATCAGATATATACTCCATAGATGTCAACCGTGAGTCGAGAAATCACTTCACCCGCTAAACCATAGTTTTTATGTGCGCACAAGAAATCCAATCTATTCTGACCTTTTAATATTTTTGGGCAATTTTTTCTATACATGTTTCTCATGAGATTCGAATTGAACCACATTGAGAAATATATTGTTTATAAAGTAAGAGTGAATGTTCCGTCAAATATATAGGGAATCAAACTATTTTATTGTATAATCTATATTTTTCACAATCAAGACAGTGTGAAGATGCTTTGGCCGAGTGGTTAGGGCGTGTGCCTGCTAAGTTCATGGGGTTTCCCCACGAGAGTTCAAATCTCTCAAGTGTCGGCTCATCTCCTTCTGGTTTTCTTTTTTGTTTGTTTTTATTCATGACACTTAAAATACTCCGTTCCATGTTCCTCCAATTCTGGGCAAACTATGTTGTGCATCCGTATGCACCATGCATGGTGCATACGGATGCAAAAACGAATACTCCGTTCTATGTTCCTCCAATTCTGGACAAATTATGTTGTGCATCTGTATGCACCATGACGACGTCGTTTTATTAAAAACGCGCGTCTCCCCTTTAAAAAAAAATTCAGGTTCGATTCCCTGCAACAACATATGAACTATAATTCCATAATCGATGAACTATAATTCCATAATCGATGAACTATTGTTAGGAATAATTGTAATATAGTTTTGATGAGCCAAATTGTATTTTTAGAATTCCCCACATTTTATTTTGAGTCTAGTGTACCAACTTCAAAATAGGCTTGAACCAAATATTCTACACAATTCAAAGGAAAAAGAAGTCCTCTCAGAATATTGGTACTTAAGATATGTTTGCAGAATTTATGTCCAAAGGTTTTAGTAGGTCAATGGACAAGGCATTGTTTTACTTGGTAGAGAAGTTGTGTTTGAATCCCTGTGGTAACTGTTTTGCTTGGAGCTGAAGGTTGAAGACTTGAAGTGCGAGAACTACACGCTACTTCTGGTAATCTTGGTTGATAAGAATTTCAGATCACTACACAACCAAGAAGTTGTAATGGAGTATTGGTGAAAGGTGAGGATGATATTGCGAATAGGTATGGGTTCAACTCTCACCTTAAGCAATTTTTGGTGTATGCATGCTGCTTTATGCTTATCACGTGGAAGTGAAGATGGGCTACAATAAATTCATGTCAGAAGCATTTATTAGGGGAGAGTTACGGATAATTTTACATAATTAAATTGAACTACAGTCTCAATTTAATTAAAGAAGAGCCACGGTCTTATTATGATTAAATTGAACTACAGTCTCAATTTAATTAAAGAAGAGCCACGGTCTTATTATGAGCTACGGTACATAATTAATTCATGGAGATGAGCTACGGTCTAAATTTATTAAAAAGAAGGAGCCACGGTTAACAGTGAAGGAGAACCAGGGATCAAAACTCATCAGAGACATTTGAAGAGTGAAGGAGAACCAGGGACCAAAACTCATCAGAGACATTTGAAGATAAGAGCCACGCTCTAAATTTAATAAAGGAATGAGCTACGCTCTAAATTTATTAAAAGGAAGGAGCCACAGTTGAGAGTGAAGGAGAACCAGGGATCAAAACTCACCAGAGACATTTGAAGAAAGGATCCACGCTCTCTATTTATCAAAGGGATGAGCTACGGTCATATTTTAAGAAAGAGAAAAATTAAAAGAATCAGCCAAGGATTTAATTCATGAGCTAAGGATTATTGAGGCAAGCTAAGGTCTTAATTAAATTAAAAGCTCAAGTCACGCTATCAGCCAGGGAAGATCAAGAAAGATCTCTGACAAGTTTTAATTACAAAGTATGGAGACCCATTACAAAGTATGGGGATTACTTGCAAAGATCAGAGAAATCACACAAAGTCAAAAATCATCCTGACATCTGAAAATATTTTTTCAAAATTTCTAAGCGGCAAAATCCTAGTACAAGATTTCAAAATTTGAAATTGCCTATCTCCAACGGGCAACTTCAAAAATTCTCAACTATAAATATGGGCAAGGATTGAAGACTTGAAGCAGAGGAAATACACACGATCAGAGAGCAAGATTTGTCAAATATCCAGTGTATTCATTTGAGCTTTTCACGTAGAAATCTTCAAGTCTAGAAGAGAAATTTGTTTTCTCTATAAAACAATTTTCTATAGTGTGTAGAAAGAGGGTTGAGTGTAGCTGTGTGCAAAACACTACCCTGTTGAGTGTAGCTGTGTGCGAAACACTCGGAGTTGCTAAGTGTAGCTGTGTGCATGATGTAGCAAAAATAAGATGTGAGCTCGGGTGTGTAATGTCGTCCTCAGGGGATTGGGGGTTATGGCACGCAATATGCAATCACAAGAAACTAGGCACTAGCATAAGGAAATCAACAAGAAGCTAAGCAAACTACAAGTTTAAGGAAATGATAAAACTAACACATATACACAAAGATAAACACAAAATAAGAAATAGGACTCAAGCTAGGGAGCATTATCATCTAGATGCTTTAACAACCTAAGGGATTAGGGAGAACAAGTAACCAAGGAAACAAGCGGGAATGCACGTAGGTATCCTAGTCTACGAACCATTCTCATGATTAATAAACAAGGATTAGAACAAGGAATTGCCCCACTTTCGTGGTGAATCAATTTCAAGTCCATCAAGCACACAAAGCATCTAAAGCCCCCAATTTCCCCTATTTTCGTAGGAAGAAATCGGGTCTATGCAAGGGGTGGCTTGGATTCATCACCCAACTCTCGTTGAGGCAAGGAATCCTCCAAAAACAAGCTAATGAATGTGTACATCAAACATTAACAAGATATAAATACAAAACCTTCACAAACACAAAGAGCTTCCTAACAAGCCTATCCAAGGCAAAGAGCTTCAGGCATATGCTGATATGATTCCCACCTCATTTGTTACCTCAATCGACGGAGCCATAATCCGGAATTATGTACTGTCGGCTTCATCCCCAACTGCAAGATTTGAATTCAGGGGAACAGTAATCGTAACTTCTCCGTCGGCACCGCGTGTGGCGGCTTTCTCCGGCCGCGGCCCCAATTCTGTAACTCCTCAAATTCTCAAACCAGATGTGATTGCACCAGGAGTTAACATTCTAGCGGCTTGGACTGGCGCAAGAGGCCCCTCCAAGAATAAAGCTGATACAAGAAGAACCGAATTTAATATTATGTCCGGCACCTCCATGGCATGTCCTCATGTCACTGGATTGGCTGCCATGCTTCGAAAGATGCATCCTTTTTGGAGCCCGAGTGCCATCAAGTCTGCAATCATGACAACAGCTACCTCTTTGGATAATACCTTAAGGACTTTCATAGATCTTTCCACTGGACTAACATCTGTGCCCAATATTTATGGATCTGGACACGTTGATGCAGTCGAGATGCTAGATCCGGGTCTGGTCTATGATGCTGGAATTAATGATTATCTGGATTTCTTTTGTAACATTGGGTATAATAGTACCACAATTGCCAAGTTCGTGGGGAGTTCTTCTCCTCCCGTGGATTGCCGCAGGCGACAATTGGGTAATCCAGGGACTCTAAATTACCCTTCCTTTTCAGTTCTTTTCACTAATACTCTACGCACGGTAACCTACAAGAGAACCGTTACAAATGTAGGGCAGGACAAGAACACACTTTATGAGGTAAGTTGGAATATATCCCCCGCCACCGTTAATGTGGTTGTGAATCCACGTTTCCTCGCATTCACTAATGCAGTCACTGTACTATCTTATCAAGTAACTTTTACAAGCCTTACCCCAACTCCTAAAGGGGCATTTGGGTCATTACTCTGGAGTAATGGGTTACACAATGTTACCAGCCCAATAGCTGTCATGTGGGGAACATCTTTGCACTCTGATCTCTAAATGTATGTATATATGTATGTACAAATGGGACGGGCCTAGCTACTTTATTCCCTATGTATTATACATGTATGTATGGGCCTAGTTCATTCCTATCCTACCCTATCCTATGTAATGAAATAAATAAATCCACACATAATTTATTATGGTGGACAAATTAGGGGGCGTTTAGTTCACGGAATCTTGAATTACCTTAGGTAAGAGGATTACTTCCAAAAAGGTGATGTGAGATTTTGAAAATGTAAGATTACCTTGTGTGTTTGGTTTGGATTGTATAATATAATATTACTTTGTTTGGTTAAAAGTTATATTTTAGGTTATATCGACGATCAACTTACTATAATGTCCTCAATAATATATATATATATATATATATATATATATATATATATATATATATATATATATCAATGCTTAAATATTAAAAACCTAAATATTTAAATATACACACATGTATATTTAATTATATAAACATATTATTATTATTATTATTAATTAAGAAGGGCAAAGTTGAAATAATTCAAGGTAATCTAAGATTACCTAAGAAAATGAGGGTAATCACATTACCACCACATCAATTTTGAGGTAATATAACATTATCAGACTCAGATGACCTGAACCAAACGTCCCTAAATATAATGTTTTTTTTTTATGATAACGTTGATACAAATGGCTACTTTGGTACTTGGTAGTCAAATGGCTTTGCGTCATTTTGAGCCAATGACCTAGGAATATGTAGTACACATTGTTAGATCCCAATAACCATTCTTTGGATAATGAGTTTACAATCTACACTGATTCAAATGGCTACTTTGGCGTTCACTCAAATGGCTTTGCGTCATTTTGAGCCAATGACCTAGGAATATGTAGAGTGCACATTGTAAGAGCCCAATAACCATTTTTTGGATAATAAGTTTGTAACGTTTTATCCGTTATTATTATTATAACATTAGGATAAGTTATGGTAATATTTAGTGTTTGATATGTGGTGCAACACTAATAACCTAATAGCTAGACTACCATTATGATTAGGAGTTTAGTTAGGGTTTAGGAGACCTAAAGACATACAACTACAATGATGGCCAGTGGTTATTTAAGGTCATTATATTAGTCCTCTCATTGCTCACACTACATACCTCATATACCATCTAGAGAGAGCTGAGTAAAGTGAGAGACAAAATACTCGTGTTATCTCTGCAGCAGTCCGGATCGTTCAACCTTCTCAAGAACTATGGCGGGAGGTTCGTTCAACCTTCTCAAGAACTATGACTGGAGGTTAGTCGGTCCTGTATCACATGCATATTATATGCTTGTGATATATTTAGTCTAACAAAAGTTTACAATCTACACTTCTTTTTTTTTTTTTCTTTTTTTCTTTTTTGGTTTTGGTGAGGTTACAATCTACACTTTAAATGTATGTAAAACATGACTAGTTCTTTTTTATGTATCCCATGAAATTAATAAAATAAATTTAGATACAAATTATCATGATGAAGAAATATATACTTTTAAAATATTAGAATAGCTATTGCATTCTTGTTACTATGAGTAGATATATTATCCTACTTATGATATTAAAATAGTTATTGAATTGCAACCTCGTTACTATGAGTGGATATTTCCTACAATAACGATAAAATGTTATCCTGTTTTAATTTGTAATTAAGCATAAGCATTCAAATTTTAAAAATTAAAAAGATGTAACCCGAGTTAGGGAGGCCGCATTAGAGAAGACCGCTGCCGACCAAGGCCCTCGCAACAGCTTGCCCCGCATGGGACACCTATAGTCATTCCTATTTCTTGTTTAAAAATCTAGCTTGTCTCATTATTATAAATTGTATGTAAGTATGTTACCAAATAATCCGTAATATTACCAGGATTATATGGTCTAATGGTACCCGGGTTGGATTTCTATTTGGAAGATTATGAGTTCGAGCCTAAGTGGAGGCGTTATTGGTTCTTTGTGAACAGATACTACAATGTAATAGAGCCAGTAATTTTCAAAAAAAAAAAAAAAAAATCCGTAATATTTTTATCTTGGGAAAATGGCACTTTTTACCCCTGAGTTATATACTTATAGCACTTTTTCCCCCTCAATTATTTAGGTAAGCACATTAGCCCCCTCAATTATTCTAAGGGGGCGTTTGGTTCAGGTTATATAACATAACCAAGGGAATGTGACATTCCAAAGCTCACATTCCGGTGTTTGGTTCATATTATCTTAGGGAATCTAACATTCCCAAGGAATGTCACATTCCCTCCACATAGGATTTTGAAGGGAATGTGATTCCCTTCAAAATCTTAGGTAATGTAAGATAACATTGGTTATCTTAAGGATATTATAGTGTGTATAAAAGATAACCCTAAACCAAACATGATTATATTACATACCCCAAAACACAGGAATCTAACATTCACAGGAATCTAACATTCACAGGAATCTAACATTCACAGGAATCTAACATTCACAGGAATCTAACATTCACAGGAATCTAACATTCACAGGAATCTAACATTCACAGGAATCTAACATTCCCTAAGGTAATCTGACATTCCGTGAACCAAACGACCCCTAAAAGTGGTGCTTTTTCCCCCTGATATATTAAATTGACATTTATACCCTTAAAGTAAACATTTTATTTATTTTACTACTCCAACAAATTATTGCGTATACGTAGGGATGACCACGGTTCGATTTGAATTGAACCGGATACTAAAGCAATCGAATTAATAGTTTACGGTTATAATTCAGATCTAGAATCCAATATTTAAATGTCAATTTTTATTAAAATTATGTATCAAAAAAATTGAATCTTGAACCGTGAACCGGTGGTTCCGGATCTGATTCGCGGTTTTAAACTGTCTTTATTTTAAAATTTTATTTTTTTAATTTTAAAATAGTCTAAATTCAACAATAAATGTATTTTATTTTTACAGTTCGGAACATGAACCGTCCGTTCCGGTTCACAAATTTAATAAACTCTAAATATCGAATTTCGATTCTAAATTGTAATTGGAATATTTCGGTTTGGTTGCTATAGTGTTTGTTTAGTTTGAACCAAATTATGGTCATAATTTGTTGGAGAAAAAAATAAATTAAATATTTAGTTTAAGGGTAAATATGTCCATTTAACATTTCAGGGGGAAAAACAACCACTTTAATAATTTAGGGGGAAAAAATGCTATAGATATATAACTCGGGGGGAAAAAGTGTCATTTTCCCTTTTATCTTTTGCGGGCATTCTTCTTAACTTTATATCTTTATCCTTTCATCTAATTGGGTACTGGTAAATTTTCTCCATCACAATATATTTTATGAATAAAATATTTCTTCACAATCGAGGCATTGTTAAGACGCTTTGGCCGAGTGGTTAAGGCGTGTGCCTGCTAAGTACATGGGGTTTCCCCGCGAGAGTTCAAATCTCTCAGGCGTCGAATTTTAGATTGATACTTCGTATTATTCATGACGCTTAAAATACTCCGTTCCATCCTCTCCAATTCTGCAAAATGCGCTTCAAGTGTGGATACAGAACTCATCAATCACTCCATATATTAATCTTTTGAATACATATTATTAATTATCATTTATCAAGTTACTTAGGTTTTGTATTTTAGGTATATGAGAAAATATCAACCTTGCTTTAATTTGAACTACACTACCATTTATCAAGTACTTTTAAACAAATTTGAACCAAATAAATTATAATTTGGTTGCCCATATTTCACCTGAATAAACTAAGGGTGGAACAAATAGATGTGTGTACAGTATATATATAGTTTAATAAATACGACGTTGCTCTCCCATGTAGCCGTGCGGACGTATCTGGACCATTGAATACATTCAGATCAATGGTTGAAAATTAATGAAGATGAGAAAAATTGTGGCGGTATTTTGATAATTTCCTGCACCTTGTATATTTCGGCGGTGTACCACAAAGTACTGATCTATGGTGCAATAATGACAAAAACACGGTGATATTTTTGTAATTTCTTGCAACAAGTTAATTATCTATGTGGTACATATATTAAGTGTTTGTTTTTTTAGTACTACTGACTCTGTTACAATGTAATATCAGTTCAGTGAGGATCGAACTCCAATTGGGAGAACCACTAGACACAAGGACGTCATTGGTACATTAAATGTTAGTATGTGTTGCATGATTTACATCCTCCCAAAATGCTCTGTCGGGCCGGGGGTGTGGGGCCCTTAAAGTTGGGGTTCAGCCTTTGGAATAATGTTTGTATGTGTTGCATTTAAGAATGATATGTGGTGCAACTAAAAATGAATACAAAATGCTTTTCATTTACTAGGGATGAATTTTATATATGTATAACAACTGTATATGAAAATAACCTGAGCACCTATTTCTTATCTTTTATATATATATATATATATATATATATATATATATATATATATATATATATATATGGGTCTTCATTAAATCTGCACCATTCTGAATTCTGCGTTCTCTCCCTAAATAATGGCTTCACACCCTAAAGCTTCTTCCAACAAAAGCTTCATCCATGCCCCTGCACAGCTCGCCCCCACCACCGCCTCCGCGGTGGCTTCATTTCGAGCGCCGGCGAGCCGCAGGAAGTTTTGCTTCCGGAAGCGGGGGAAGCTGCCAACGGCGCGGCTGGGAGGGAAGAAGCCCCGGCGGGGATTCTTTCTGGTGAAGCTTTTCAGGCGGGCGAAACTGCGGTGGCTGCGGCTGCACTACTCAACCATGCTGAAGAAGATCAAAGATTATTACCAGCGCCTGATAAAGGATATCGTCGACGGCGGCGGAGACATTGATTCCTTCCAGCAACGGCTGATCATGGAGACGTCTTTTGCCGTTCCGGTGATGGGACTTTCTTTCTACTCTTTTCCTAACCATTACGGCAAATAGCTCGCCGGCGCCGTATTTTCTTCTTTATCCGGTAACTCCCATCTCCTTCATTCTCATCTGTAACTTTCTCAAGATCAGATCTTCCCTGGGCAATAAACAAAAAATAAATAAAATGAAATTTTTTTCAATTTTCTTTTCAAGAAAATGATTTACCAAGTTATTCCCTAATTTTCTGGGAGCTGAACAAAGAAGGATACTGATTAGTTAATTAATTAATCTTGTATAGTCCACATTATTACACTCCAAATTTATTTTTAATTTTTCACAAATATATGTTTTTTATTTTTTGTATTATTGACTCTCTTACAATAGAATGGTTGGGTCAAAGTACCTATGAGGTCCTTGTACTATAACATTTTGTTCAATTTAGTCCTTCTATCTTAATTTTGTTCAATTTAGTCCCTGTACTTTAAAAAGTGAAACGATTAAGGACAATAATTGATATTTATGTATTTATTTTGGACATATTATGTAATATATTGGTGGTAAAAAGAAGTAATTTTAAATATTTATAAAATAATATATGAGTTGGTATGTAAGTATGATGATGTGACAGATAAGATGTCTACGCCATATCAGCGATTGTCCTTAATTGTTTCACTTTTTAGAGTACAAGGACTAAATTAAACAAAATTAAGATAGAAGGACTAAATTGAACAAAAGACTATAGTACAGGGACCTCATAGGTACTTTGACCGAATGGTTGTGTTCTACTAGAGAGTTTAACTTGGTGCCATTTTCACCCGACTACTCAAGGAGAATCGCCAAATGTGGAAATCGAACTCGAGTTATCCCGGACGTTGGATTGTGGCAATATATCAAGTTGAAATAAGAGTCAAATATATCATCCAACCGCACACGATAATGCAATTTGGCCACTAAACATTAAACAAAAAATAATCATTAAATCCCTAAACTAACATATTTCATACATTTTGTAAAAGGAATTAATACTTTTCGTAATATGAAATTTATCTAATCAGTTAAGAAAATTGACAATACACACATTACATCCATAATTAAAGGAGATTAAAAAAATTATGATCATTATTTCAATTCACAGATTATTATGCTAATTCACATATTATTATGTCCATACAATTATGCAAACTATTCCAATTCATATATTATTACACATATAGAAGTATGATAATGGTTACTTTTGAATAAAATTTTAATAATTATAGTAATTAATAAATTAATTCACACATTATACTTTCATTAATCTATATTTTATACTTGTCGTAATATAGATTGTATCTAATCAATTAAGGAAATTAATGGTACATATATTACGGACATAATTAAAGAAAATTAAACATACACATATTACATCCATAATTAAACAGACGTCATAATTAGCATAACATTAATTAAGAATAACATATACTCCTCAATTACCATATAGTAATAATCATAATAAAACGACCTCAATTTTATTGGAAATAATGATATTTTTCTTACCCATATAGGAAATTAAACATACACATATTATGTCCATAATTAAAGAAAATTAAACATATATTACGACGTCCATATTACCAATCTGTATTTAACACCTTAATTTTACTACGGTATTAAACATAGAGATTTCATTCATTTGATTATAGTATATTTTGTTACTTAAAATAATACGGAGTACAATTAGGAATGCTCTTTTTTTCTATTTTTGTTTAGACTTTTCCTAATATAATTTGTAAGTAATCAGTTCCAGCACTAACAGGACGTTTGGTTGGTGGGAATTACAATTATATTCCCACTTAATTCCGAAGGCAAGTAAATTCCTTCGTTTGGTTGGAGAATTTCATGACCCCCCCCCCCCCCCTCCCTCCCCCCATTGGTATTTCAATTCCATAAATTTTAGGAAGGAAAATATAACTTTTAAGACAAAATTACCCATCTCCTTCTTTAATCTAAAATTGGTGTTTGACCTCTCTCTTTCGATTATAGTTTGCATTCTTCTTCTACTCTCAACACAAAACGTCAATCAGTAGGTCAACCTCAATCAAATATGCTTTTTCAAAACTCCCTTATATATCTTATTGCATTCATTATGCAATTTTATAATTTATTTACAACGCGTGTTACATAAATTTTTAAAAACAAAATTTGAATTTGGTAATTTAGGATTAACAACAACAACAACAACAATGAGCATTTTAAACTTTATACTACTTATTCCCTTTCAATTCTCAGGTATACCAAACATTGAAATTGAAATTTCCAGTAATTTTATTCTTGTAAACCAAACACTGAAATTTAAATTTTCACTTTATTCTCCTTTCTCACGTAATTCTCTCACTGAAATTTAAATTCTCACTTTATTCTTCTTTCTCACTTAATTATCTCCATTCAACCAAAACGCCCCGTAATATACAAATCTTATAATTTCAAATATTCATGTTAGATCTAGCACTGCACTATGTTCACTTCCCCGGGGATCACTCATCGCGGGATTGCAGGACTTAACCACAGAGTTCTATGGTACCTGATTGCCATATCCTACTCAAAACCAATTGGTTCAAAACGTCAAAAACGTCACCCATCTCCGGCACGTCAAAATTTTTTTGTCAAAACGGACAACCAAGTCAAAAGTTATGCTTTCCCGAATAAATAAATAAATAAATAATAAACGCCGGTTCAGCCAGCTAGGCGATCAAGGCGGCCGCCTAACCGGCCGACCGTGGAGGATGCCGATTCCAACCTTCCACGTGGCGGCCGGCGGGCGCATACGTGCGATTTTTGCAACCATAGTATAATTACATAAATCATATTACATATTAATTTATTCTAAATAAATACAACAAATGAGTCATATATTATTCAACTAATTAATTGATATTTTTATAATAATTTTATAATCAAATAAATATAAACTTTCACATGTTAAAATTATTTATACTTTCATCTTTAATTTTATTATCTAAATATATAATTAAAAAAAATTATCCAGACACAGGTAATTTCTTAGTATGTATAACAGCTATATATGAAAATAACCTGAGCACCTATTTCTTATCTTATACGGAGTATTTTATTTATACTCCGTATTTTTTTTTGAAGCCATTTAATTTATATTTATATCATAGGGTCTTCATTAAATCTGCACCATTCTGCGTTTTCTCCCTAAATAATGGCTTCACACCCAAAAGTTTCTTCCAACAAAAGCTTCATCCATGCCCCTGCACAGCTCGCCCCCACCACCGCCTCCGCGGCGGCGGCATCTCGAGCACCGGCGAGTCGCAGGAAGTTTTGCTTCCGGAAGCGGAGGAAGCTGCCAACGGCGCGGCTGGGAGGGAAGAAGCCCCGGCGGGGATTCTTTCTGGTGAAGCTTTTCAGGCGGGCGAAACTGCGGTGGCTGCGGCTGCACTACTCAACCATGCTGAAGAAGATCAAAGATTATTACCAGCGCCTGATAAAGGATATCGTCGACGGCGGCGGAGCCATTGATTCCTTCCAGCAACGGTTGATCATGGAGACGTCCTTTGCCGTTCCGGTGATGGGACTTTCTTTGAACTCTTTTCCTAACCATTACGGCAAATAGCTTGCCGGCGCCGCCGGAGCCGTATTTTCTTCTTTTTTTTCCGGTAAATAACTCCGATCTCCTTCATTCTCATGTGTAACTTTCTCAAGATCTTCCGTGGGCAATAAACAAAAAAATAAATAAAAAGAGATTTTTTCGGTTTTCTTTTCAAGAAAATGATTTACCAAATTATTTCCTAATTTTCTGGTAGCTGAATACTAATTAATTAGTTAATTAATTTTATATTATCCACATTATTGCACCGCAATTTATTTTTCATTTTTCAAATACATGTATTTAATTTAATTCTGAATACACTATAGTTAGGACAATCTTAGCCAAATTAGTGAAATAAGTAACTTAGTAATTACAAGATTTTAAGTTTGACTTATATTTGAACGATCAGCTATTAAATTTATTTCCTTGAAATCATAATATACATTTCACTCAAAATATATTTCAAATCAAAGTTGTATATGTTCTTAAGCTATAGTTTCGTACGTTGCAAGTTAATTAGACGTAGGAGATCACATGCCTCGTTGACTCCTTTTGATCTTTGGGGAACCATATATTCCTTTTGTTCCCAAGTTGTGACAATCATTTTGGCATTATTAGTATGCCAGGAGGGATCAAATTAAATGTAATAAAGTGAGCTATATCTATATTATATTCTAAGCTATTCCATCACGAAGTAAATTCATGTATGTATATAATAATATCTTTAAACAAATTATATATTGAAAAGAATGGACTTAAACTTAGAATTAGTTCAACCTTGTAATATTTAAATACGAATTCGAAATGCAAAGAAATGCACACAACTTGTCAAAATAAATTGTTAAAAACTTTATCAAGTTAATTAGATTAATCCGAACATCTTACCTCGGCAAACAAATATTTTATATTTATTATCCAAAAAATATATATTTTACAAGTTAAAAGATGAATATTAATGTGAGGGTAAAGAAATAAAAAAGATCGAACCGTACGACTACTTGTGACATATGGTGTCAGCACTTCCGTCACTATTCAAATTTATTTATTATTGTAATTATACAATTAGGAGATTCTAAATATGACACTGATTGTACATCACAACTCAACAACTCTAAGAGCTTCACCAATAGTTTTTAAGAAATTTTGCATGTGTCACTAAAAAAGAGAAAATGATAGGAGAAAAAAAATCAAAAAGAAATTAAAGATTTACGCACCAGTCACGCTCTCACACACTTGGTTGGGCGCGATATTTGCCTCTCACGCGAGGCAAAGTTCCTTACCTTCTTTTTTGATGACGCCTACAGAGTTGACAAAAACTTAATCCTTTAACAAAGGCTAAGATTCCTCTATCTCCTCTCTCCTCTACTTAGCGTGACTTCCTTAAAAACTACGGATGAAAATGCTCTAAGCCACACAAAATTAAACTTGTAATGGGCGGATGTGTACTAATTATCTATCATTAATCTTTAATCTGTTCCAACTTCTACATTATCCTTTCTTTTTAGTGTATCATTAACCCGGCACCAAGTCACCAACTAAGACAAAATTTAATATGAATGATTAAATTTGTTTCGGACATGAACGTCGTAACAGTTGCAGAATTTTTAATAACGAGGTCAACGCTCATGGCTTTCCAGCTGTAAATGTATTATTTTCCCATATATTTGTTTTAATTTCGCCTGGGCAATGGGCATTTCCCAAAGAGTTAGAATGCAACAATTCAATCAATATAATAATCGTGGACGGCTACTTATATCAAATTTATTTCATTTTTGTTAAATCATAAGGCCATTCGCACCTATGAAAGGGTGCATATAGCCAAGGAATATATATATATATATATATATATATATATATATATATATATATTGATACTGCTAATTCTACGCAAGCAATATAAAATAAACCCGAGACCAATTAAAGCAAGTAAAAGATTTTATTGATCACGGTAAAGGCCCTAAGTACAATCTACTTGGTTGCTCTGAGTACCGACTGACTGCGGTCGGGATTCTCTAGTAACAACCTATCGATCGTCCAAAAGTCCCTTCCACTGTAGCTACTGTGGCTATTTATAGCCGCTATGCCGGGGACAGGATTCCAGCCGTTCGGCATGTCCTCCACGTAGCCACCACGCGTCATCCTCCCGGGTGCCCTGTCTGTCATCGTAAAGAGCCGCCACGTGTCCTTTTGTCAGCTCTCTTGCCAAAGGGCTATCGCTCGGCGGTCGACACCGATGCTCGGGCAATTTCCGGTTGCTTCCCGACCGGGTTCTTCATAAAAGCCCGACCTGTTACCTGCAAAGACAAAAAGACAAAGACAAAGGCAATCCGGTCGTGGTGGAGCTTATGTCGGTCGGGATATTCCCTACCAAAAGCCCCCCAGCCCGGGCCTTTTTGACCATCCGGGAAAAAACGGGACGGGATGAAAAAGCCCAACCGTCAGCCACCAAACCGACCGGCCAGCTGTCATTCCCTCCCTCGCCACGTGTCGGCCACTGCCGGCCTCAGAATCAGTGCGGGTCGTATCACGCAAGTGGATTGGTTTCCCGCCTAAATGCTCTCCTATAAATAGGCCCTTGAGGCCTCCATTTGAACTTTCCTCAATCCACTGAAGCAGTCGGTACCCTCAGAGAGTCCCGAGCAGCAATTCAGCGAACCAGTCGAGCAAAGCCAAGCTTCAAGTTCTCTTCAAAGTACCAGCAGTCAGTAAGCTCTTGATCCCTTAGCTTTTTACTTTGTTTTTAGCTTTGCGTAGGAGTAGGATAGGACTAACTCTGAACTAACCTCCCGACTCTGTACTAACCCCGACCGACCTTTAGGTAGAAAACATGTCGGATTCGGATAGCCAGAACGCCTCGATCGCAGACTACGACAACGCAATCGAGCACAGCATCGAGGAGGTGGACATCATGTCCTATTCCCCAGAGGTCGAACAACGACCACAACCCACTCCCGATCGAGCCCCCGAGCCAGCAGGGTCATCAAGCTCGTCAGGGACCTCAGGGTCGAGCTCCAGAGGGTCGGGGAGCGAAGCAACGTCCACGAGCGGACGAAACCTCCCGGACGAAGGTGTTAGGGAAACGCCTACGAGGGTAATAGGGGATTACCCTCGAGCCGAGCCTGAGGGCGGAGACCGGGCCAACGAAGCCGAAGCGGATGAAGAGGACCCGACCGGGGCGGCGCCGCCGGGCGGGGACGGGTTTGAGTTCCTCAACAGCGAGAACGTCGAAGGCCAGAGGAGCTTGCTGACAAAGGGAGAAGCCAGCAAAATCGCGGCAACTCTCGCTGGTCGGGTCGAGTTCGACACCAGCAGGCAGCTCGGAAATATCATCGAGCGGCACTAGGGGAAGTGGATTGGGATGCATTACGATTCGCTAATGGCCCCGATCACGTTCCCCTTTTCCAGCCTTCTCACTGCATTCCTGGGCTACTACCAGGTTATGCCCGGGCAGATTTGGCCGAACGCGCATCGGATCATCGCGTGCTTTCCCCAAATCTGCAGTCGGCACGACGTAGCCTGCACGATGGAGCTCTTCAACTTCGTCTACCAAGTGAAGGTGCTGGCGGCTGCGTACGGGGGTGGATTTCTGATGATACAATCCCGAGCGGACAAATGCTCGATCGAAGGGCTGCCCGGGAACAACCGGGGGTGGAAAAACCGGATCTTCTCAGTGAAGTATGATTCGTGGATCCTCCCGGTCGAGAGGGTCTGGAGTCAGCGTTTCCGAAGACAAGTCATCCCAATCGAGACCCAGGCCCTTATAGACGCCGTCACCAAAATCTCGGGCGAGATCTACGAGTACCAAATCTTCAAGACGCCCGAGTCCCTCGAAGCGGCTGACTTGCCCTAGCCCGTATATGATATACCTCATAAGTACAAGCCCGAGCCCCGGGGCGTTACGATCGCAACGATGCCCGCCCGGGGCAAACGAAAGGGCAAAGGTGTGACATTAGCCCTTTTCTCCGAACTCAAAAGCCCGACTGGGCCTTTAGCTCGACCTAACCTACTTTGTTTTGTTTGCAGAAATGGCCGGTTTCGGAGACGAGGACGTCCCTCTGCGCCCAGTGGCCTAGATCTCTCTTGGCAAGAAGAAGGGCCAAGCTAAGCCGGCCGGGGAGAAAGAGATCCCGGTTGCCCGACCCATAGGGGCGTCGACCGTCACTACGACCGAAGGCTTCGTGGTGGACGCCTCGGAGGTCCTGGTCACCCGAGTGGCGGTCGGGAAGGGGAAAGAGAAGGTGGCGGAGAAGACCGCCTCAGAGACCGGGGCCTTGAAACGGCGCCGGGAACAGCACAGCCCGACACCCTCGGGCGGGGGCAACAAAGGCGGATCCTCGATCCTCGCCCGGATCGGGAATGCCGGGTCGGCCAAGGAGGACCTCTCCAAGCTGACCCCGAGCCAGGTAGCCGAGAAAATCGGCTATGACTTGGCTGAGGTAAGCGTATTTTCCTTTCTTGAATTTTTTTTGGAGTATTGCCGTTCGGCTAACTTGATTGTTCGCGTATGCAGATCTCCCGAGCGGCCCAGTTTCTTCAACAGCGAGCCCTTCAGGCCAACGAAGCTGAGGCCTTGAAGAAAGTCGCCAACCGGCGACTACAGGAGATCCGGGACCTGGAGGCTCAGCTGAAGAAGGTCAAAGCTGAACGGGATCTCTCCGAGCAAGTCGCCCAACAGGCGATCGGGGAGGCAGCCGAGCTCAAGGCTCGTCAAAACGACCCGGATAAGCTCGCCCAACATCTCTTCCAAGATACCAAATCGGGCGCTCGCTTTCTCCAGTCCGTTCGGGGCACAGAGGTCGGGGAAAAGCTGATATGGACGTTTGGCTGGTGGGCGTACAAAGCCGGTCAACGAAAAATGCGCGACCAAACCAAGAAGATCATGGAGCAGGCCCTTGAAGGGGATGATCTTCAGCTGGTCTTGACCACACTCCCCGACGACGTAGCCGACCCGGGGCCAGCACCTTTTGATCCGAAGGATCGGGCTACGGAGAGCGGAGCTGAAGCCGCTCCGAGCGGGGGGGAAGCGCCGAGGAAGGGCGATGCCGAGGCGAAGAAGTAGGATAAATTTTAATTCTGCTTCTTTTGTGTGACATCAATCGGGAGCCCGGTCCCGAATTTGTACCGGGCACTCTTTTCAATCAATGAAACTCATTTTTTGTTAA